TTCCAGAGGTAGTGCAGCAAGCATTTGAATAGGAGTTTCCCACAACTAACAGGAAAGGAGTATAACCCCCAAACTGTAAACTTAATAACTGAAGTATTTTCTAGATGTGTGTTTTTTCTCAAAGGAGTATTACAGGATTGGAATGGACATATTTTGGCTCTACACAAAACTGTAGTGTTTGGAAAGAGGTGGGCTACCCTCCAATTAAACTGTATATATACTTATTTGTTTTAATCCACAAAAAAAGAAAAAAAAAAGTAGGAAGATATGCCAGTCACTCAGTATTTTAAGAAAACGTCTGCTCATTTTCTGAGTGTGCGCATCCCCAACAAAAAGCACAAGTTGCCTTCATGATTTGTTATTCTTAGTGTGTTATCCAGTCCTCTGCAGAGATGAAGCATCTCCAAAATACATCTCCAAAAATCATTACCAGATAAATTCTTTTTAGCTTAAACTCTCACTGTGCATAAGTACTGATTAACTAAATTTAAAAAGCCAGCACCAGGACTAGTAGACTTCATAAGGTTCAGATGTCAATTTCCCCATCAACTTTCTCTAAATTAAGGAAATCTGTACTTCAGGTTACAGGCGGAGACTGAAGCTAGAATAATTTGAAGAACTAAACCAACAGAATAATACTTTCTTCAGTGAGCATTGCTTCAGATCAGGAAGGTAAAAAGGAAGAGGTAATTTGTATTCTATTTAGAGCAGATACGCAGTGAGGAGACTTGCGAACCTATTTTTACTGTAAAGAATTATATAAAAACAGTCTTTCCAAACACACTGGAAGGCAGTTATGTCTGTCCCTGCCAAGGCATGTTACTTTATGTTACAGCAAACTGACACCAAGCTGAAGTCCAAAAGGATTAATTCTGGGACCATGAGGAAGGCTTCTCCTGACTCCTTCCTACCCAGATTTCCCACAGACACTGAACAAGAATGAGAAACTAAGCAAGAGTGATTTTTGTATCGAGCAGGTCAGGCACCTCTTTCTCCAGAAACTGGCGGAAAAGCAGCAATTTTAGGAAATGTGCACAAGCTTTTCAGATGTACTAGTAGTTCCACATAACAGAAGGCAAAAAGATATCTAGCACAGACCCACAGAGATTGGTTTAATGCTGTAAAATTACATTTTAATCCGACACACCCGGAGTTCTTTACCAAAAAAGAGTTCAGAATGTTATTACTCCTTTCACAGACAGAGGACCTGACTTGGATTAAATAATTTGCACAAGGACACACATGAAGTCTACGCAATGTCTGATCCAGGACCTATCTTCTGACTACTACTGCTGAGCATTAACAGCCCCTCTTTCCTCTGCAAAGCTTCAGGCTTCAACAAACAAAGCATTCCTCATAGCTAATTGGTATTACATGGAAACTCAACTGCTCTTATTTACAAAACTACAGATTTATGTCAAGCAAAGCCAATTATGCTTAATGTTTAAACTATTGCAGGTGCTCAATGACATTGTTGCTAGGCAGTAGAAGTGAAATTGCTCTTTTAATGCATCTTGTTCCAACTGGGAGCATGTGTTTTATCATCAGTGCAAACTTAACAGATGGAGATCTTAATCCTCACCAACGAGCTTTCTTCACCCTTCCGCACTTGAAATGGTGTCCCATACATTTAGACTTAACTGAGGTGCTCAGTGAACTGTCTGGGACAACTCATTTTTCATATGTGCATACATGAATACAGAATAAAGCACACATTTAACCCTTCAAGCAGCACCAGCAATGCTCAGCACTCCGTATGGCTATTCAAGGCTAGCACTGACCTTTCTGAGCATGGTACCTAAGTAGCTATAACCAGATCTGTTAGACAGCACATAAGCAGCTTCTTTCAAAGTTGAGACTGAATCTACAGATTCCTTTATATTAATTCCATTGCTTGTCAGGACAAGGTTTGAAAAATTTAAGTGGTAAAACTACAAAACTGAACTGGGATGTTTCTGTTCACTGACAGCCTGTGAACCCCAGTTTGGAGGCGACTTCTTCCATGCACTATTTCAAAGATTCAGTCCTTTATGATAGGGATCAAAACATGCATATCTGTATTTACTTCATGCATTGCAACATAAACATGTTATCTGAATGTTTTATCGTCTCCCATGAGAAATGTCGTAGATCAACAAAATACTGAACAAAAAGCTGTTTTAACAATTTACAGCTGCTTATTACGTCATTTCCCATGCATACATGCCTCAGTATTTATTCTCTTCATTTTTCATAATGGATTAACCCAGATGTAATAGGCAGCATCTTTCAAAGTCAAGACCACAGCTACAGAGTCCTTTACACTTATTTCACATATGCTGGGACAAGATTTATAAAAAGTAGGAAATGGTCTGAAACTAAAAATAATTCCATTATTTTTGTATACAGCCCCAAGTGCTCCAGTTGGGGAAGCATCCCTGCCTGTTGAGGTGTAACTGCTGAATTGCTCTGTCTTAACAACAAGCAAATATTCACACACAAACCATTTATGTAATTCTAATATCTCCTTATGAAGGGTGCCCAATGTTCACACTCCATTGCTGTAAGGCTTTCTTGCAGTGTTGCATGATAGAGATCCTTCCTTACAGGGATTTTTTTTTTCTTCAGAATGACAGATCTTTATCAGACAATTAAACTGCAGTATTTTATGTTCTCTGCTGTGATCTATTTTCAGATTTTGATCTCCAAGAAACAACAGTCTCAGTGTGTGCAATCTCAATTTTCCTAAGCATGACTGGAAGAAATACATATGTTCAGAATGGGAACTGAACCAAGGATCACCAGAACCACAGGCTTCTAAAAAGTTCATCTTATCATCAGAGAAGCCAAGTAAATTTTGCTACCAACTGGAGAGAAGTCACCAAGACAGCACATCAAAAGGCCATACCCAAACTCCTAACACTCAAATGTGCATAATTTTTAAGATTAAAGAAGCACAGAAATAGAAATTCACAGACCAGGTCTCAGAGACTTGAAAAGAAATCTTCTGCTTCAGAAAGCTCTTTCATAGAAACCTAAACAAAACAATGAGCAAGCTCAAGATTCTCAGTAGATAGGGTCTCTCTTCTCTTCTGGGGCCCCTGGAGTTTCTTCCTCTTCACTATGCAAGCAGAAGCCAAGGAGAGAAAAGTAGGCAGCCTTCCTCCACCCACTTCCTCTCTTCCCCAAAAAAAAACCCTCACAGAGCAAACAGCCAGTTGCACACTCAGCTGTGCCACTGAATCACTGTGTCAGTCAGAAAGCACTTCTTGAATGTGGACAACCATTACTGATGAGCATGCATGAAGATACTTGCGTTGGTGGAGATGGAAGAAACATCCCAGGATCAGTTTCCCTTTTATCACAAAGGACAATATTAAACAAGTTCCACAAAAGCTTACTTGCAGATGGGTACCTCTCTTTTCCACAATATCTGTCGCCACCTGGGCTTAAACTGGGCTCTTAGTCACCTTCTGATGACTCTCATCTACACAAGTTGTTTCCCTTGAGAAATATTAAGGGAGATCATCTCTACCATGTTTTGTTTAAAAGATGAGTGCTCATTACACACAGGCATTAAGGTTGTCTGGCAAATCTACCTTTGATATATCAGCATTGCATTTTATTCAGTTTTCCTTTTATCTCATGACTTTAAAAATTCTCTTTTATTTATTTATTTATTTTTTTAAACAAAACTTTAAATACAAGTGAGATCAAACTAACAGCTTTAAGACAGTTCTGACTGCCTTCCTTCCTACTTGTTAGATATACTTACTGCATTTTGCTTCCCCCTCAGTGCTCCCCACCCCAGCCTATACCTGCAGCACGGTTAAATGGATAACAGTACTGTGATTACCATCATCAACTCTTTTACAGTTTCAGTGCATAAACTGTGTCACTGCAGAGCATTGTGTGCATTCAGTGTGATTTCTCCTGTGGTATAGCATTCCTTGTGTCTGGTAGCATTCTGACTAAAATTTTCAACTCTGTCAACTCTTAATCAAAGTGTTCCTCTAGTTTTTGGGTTTTGTATATTTCTTTATTACGTGAGAACCCTAATACTTTCCTCATTATCATTTTATTAATATGACTTACAAAGGACTGATCAGCATTACAAGTCAGTTTTGGGAGTGCTTAACACTGTTTAGATTTTTAAGATTAATTTCATTAATTCATTAATTTCAATTTTGTTAATTGTTTCTTCCTCAACTTGCAGCTGTATCTACACTTTCCCGAACATCTTCCTAACACCTTCCACCCTCTCCAACTGGGTAACAATTAGTGATTTTGACCTAAATAAGTTGTAGCCTCTGGATCTCCCACTAGCAACATTACTGTATATCATCCTCTAGGAATGACAAATACCACAGTGCTTCTGCTAAGGTGATGGCTGCATGCCTCAGCACAAGTGTCCCGCACCAGATTTTTACAGATTTGTTATCAGTATTTGTATCGGATACGTATTTGTATCAGTATATTCCTGGTAGACCTCAAGGCAATCTCTAGATAAGTTAAGCAAGGCAGTGTCCATTTTCCTGAAGAGGAAACTAAGGTGAAGCAGCAACTTGCTGAAGATCGGAGAGCAGATAAATATTAACCAGGAATAACACAAGACTCCTACCTTCACAAGTATGAATTAATTAATACTGCCTACAAAGTTATTTTCAAATGATACTGTCACAGTAATTCGCTAAACAAATATATACACGAATTTATTAATTTTTAACCATTATTAATCATAAATACACATGAATACCTGTCCTTTTTCCTATGCAGATTAAAAGCATCTCTACATCAACCATGCAAAGCAGTGAGCTCTCATTGTCCGTGGCACGCATTATGACAGTGCAGCATCCTACAAGGCTAAATCCTAAGACAATTGCTATTTCGTAAACTTATAAATAACAGTCCTAAGGTGATTAGTAACTACATTGGTGGTTCCATTAAACTGCACTACATTATTTTTCATTAGAAAGCTTATAGATAACAATCAAAATTTAGTCCAACAAGGGTGAAACTTTTCAAGTTGTCTCCATAGGAGACAAAATGGAAGAATGATCCAGGACACTACCATAGTGCTCGACGACTTTGTCGTGTTTCAGAAAGACTTTTTCCTCAGAAAGACTTCCTCTGAATTCACTGGCATACGCCTGGTTCAGATTGCTGTATCTGGGCAGGAGAATAGTGAAGGAAAACGCTAGAGTAGACATCCTTTCTGGGACTGATTTCACACAAGATAAAAGTGCCTTAGGAATCCCGAGTTTCTAAGCAGTCAAAGAATATGGTAGCAGTACACACTTCCATGGAAACTTTCACAACAGAAGGACAAGAAGTGCTAAACTTGATGCAAGCATTAACAAAAGCAGTACTTTATCAATAAATATACAGCAATTAATATCTGGAATAGTACACAAAAACACTGTTATGCAAACATGCTTTTCTCAGAGAAACTTCAGTAGACTTCTTCTAATTCAGAGTTATAAATGCTAATATCCTCCTACAGTTAAATCAGTGCTTATACCTGTATAGTCTCATCCTTTTTTCTCCCTTCTGCAAAGTGACAAGTATGAGAATTTAATTTGGCACAAAATGAAATGGTAACATTTAATCCCAAAAATATATTTCATGTTGGTCTCGGTCATCTTACTGAAAAATAAAATACCTCAATATCGTAAGGAAATGTCCATTTGAAATAAAATTAAATATATACACACAATATTTGCTCTAAAAGTAATGCCTCATCTTATGTTGGCTCACAATGTCAAAGGCAGATATTGGTGGTATGGCCATAGAGGTTGAACCTTCCCATCAACATTTTGTTAGATTTTGTTGCCTTGGGATGGATGGCAGCAGAGGGGCAGCCTGACAAAATGGTGTCTGACACTGAAGTGCCTATGAAGACAAGGTGTCTCATTGAATGTAGAAAAAACTGCATCCATTAACATTTATCAATGCTTACTGAATGCTTATGGAACCCAAACAGTGGATTTTAGCACAGTGAGGTGGGTGGTTTGTTTCAGCAGTGGTGACACTGATGTGAAAGACAAGCCACATTCTGGATAGCCACACACAGCTGGTACAGATTTCATATAATCACAGCTTGCAGGCTCTTGTTCGTTGCTGGTGAAAACGCACAGCTGTACATTTGATAGTTGAAAAATTCTGTTTTGTAGCTGAAAATTTGCTTCATCAAATGGTGCTATTGTACTCTTTCTAGCTGTTGTAGTTGGAAAGGAAATAATACGAAGCAGCCTACCTATTTATAAGAAAATATGAGAATTTTGTTGACTCCTAAAGACAAGTTAATTTGTGGCAAAATTATTTGTTGAGCTTAAACCAGTTTTGAAAACCAAAATCCTTCAGTTTTCAACACTAAGTGACACAAATAGGTATTTCAGTTTACAGAAGAGAAAGATCTCATTTTATAAGAAGACTAGACAAAATACCTGGAGGAGAAACATTTTCAACCATGATTCAGGTCACAGTTACAAGATCTGAAGTGAGAACTAGCTACCTGTACAAATGGACTCTCGTGTTTCAGATTACAATGAAGTGATAAGATGCTACAGTAAGTGTTGGTACTGCAAAGTTAGAGTAATACGTAATAGGAAAAGAAGCATTTTTCTTAAAGAGTTCCTGGCACCTTGGAAATCTTCTATTACTGTTGTTATCAAACCACTATTTCAAGTCTTCTGAAAGATTTTCATAGAATTGCAGCCAGATATCTTGAGAAAATACCATTTACACATGACCTTTCCCCCCTCATGATAGCACTGCTTCCCTCTCCATTCCTAACCACAAGTATTCCTTAAACACTGACAAACTGATTAAATATTCCAGAATACAAGATGCAGACCAGCTCTGAAGCCATCCTGGATACAAGGTGAATTGCTTCTTGTAATTCCTTGCATTTTACAGGCAATATGTGGGCATTAAACCTTGGCTCTACAGGTTGCATAGACTTGCTTTCTCTTTGGAGGCTAATTGAGCAATTCCACCATTATATCCAGCAAAAAGTTTCATTCATGTCACTACTCAGACTATCACAAATTATTTCTCCATTACTCTGTTGAGATCACTACATCAAACTTTAACCAGTAGTGTTCTGCTATCTTTTTGCAGCTCTCACATCTACTGCCTTATGCTAAGGCTTATAGGGACAACGGCAGTGTTTACCATACTTTGGTACATAAGCAAGCGCACTGTAAGTCATTTTTAGGGTTTTTAATCCCTTGGTGCCATAGTTTTAATCCCATATTTATGTCCTTTAGGAAAGGATTCTCTTTTTAGTTCAAGTCATTTTTTGTATTAAAAGACTCTTAAGGTACTCAAGATTAATTATATGCCTTTGGCTATTTACTTTTACCACACATTTTCTGTGAAATCTCCCACTTCAGGAAAAGAAAAAGCCCACAGAACTCTGAATCCTGGACAACATCATACGATCACTACTAATTCAGTATTGCACGCTACTTACAGGTTCTGCAAGAATTTCTGCCCTACCTACAAATGAAACATCAAGTTTATTTCCTCACACATACCTGTGTGCAATGGTCCAGAACCCAAGGGTGTTCACCATCATCAAGGAAGCCAAGAAGAAGAAGAATCTCTCCAATTTACCTTCATGTAGCAAGTGTGGAAACCAGTTGCCTGTCAAAGCAGACATTTGAAGCAGAATTAGTTTGCCTTGCAGGGTGAGACGTGATTTTTATGAAAGACACAAAGAGAAGCTTCTGTAATACACAGTCACAGCAGGTGACTTGAACCCTCCTGTAGCTATTTGCACAGTCTTAATTCACTCAATATGTATTTTTTCGAAGTCTACAGTGCACTCTGCTTCTGATACGCAGACGTGAAGTGAAGAAATTTCTTTTTTTTTTTTAATAAACCTGAATCATATTGGAAAGTTAACTATACAGCTATTACAGTCATGACCAGGCCATTATCCCATTAAATGAATGTCAGTGCAAAAGTTTTAGGAAGGGTTATAATTAAGGTGGTTCATAGAAATCTTTATTTACGTCTCTCATGGTTTTAACAGGCTTTTGTTTCAAAAAAAAAAAAAATATATTTTTTTTTAGTGCCTTGAGCGTTGCTTCATTACCAAGATGCTAGCTGACATTTAACTTTCCCTACAGTTGCCTTTAACTAGGAGTCTGTAACACATTATTGCATTGTACACATAAGTTGTTCTGCAAGAGTCACAGAGCTTTGGCTCACTGAGGCTTTTAGCAATAGTGTCTGGGACATTCTGGAAGAAAGACTCCCTTCAAGAACAAACATTACCACCTATAGATGCACACCCAGAGCATCTGTCTGTATTACGTGCTTTCAATGTTGCTCATTACAACCAGCAAATAAACTCAGGTGGTAAATTATTACTATGGAAATTGAGATGCTTAACAGGAAAGCAAGCCCCACTCAGACTGAATCTGAAGACAATCACCTCCTGAAGCATTATAATCAACTACAATGAGAGGTAAAACCAAGGTGAAAAAAGAAATGACTGTAGATACGGAATATCAGAGAGCTGTACAGTGCTATAACGACCTCCTAAGTTATTTGAGAGCACAGGTTGTTCACTGCCTTTGAGGAAGGAGAGTCTGCCCTCATTAGCAAGTAGTGAAGTTCAAGAGGAGCACTCAGCCACAGCTGAGAACCCGATGCCCACACTGCACACAGCTCAGGGAAGGCTGTGTCAGACTGATTCCCATTAGCAGCTGGAACACAGCCAGCACAGGCATTTTGGGGATTTAGTTTCATCCAAAAGAATTTTTTTTTTTTTTTTTTTTTTTTTTTGTGGTCCAAGATTGCTGTGATGCAAACCAATGCACAAATGGAGATGATCAGAAAATACAAGTCAGAAGTACACACCTGACCTGAACTAAACCACCAGCATTTATGCACATAAATACACCTTTCTTTGCTCCCTCAAATTCTGGTACCAATTCCTTCCCATTTATATGGGTCACTATTCACCACTTGAACTAGCTTAAAAGGGAGAAGAAGAAAATAGCTTTCTATGGCGTAACTATCCTGTGCAGAGCTGATAGCCACAATTTATCTTTTGACCACTGAAGACATCTTCAGCCATCCAATGCAATTCTTAGCATGTTAACTTTTTACTAATTCAATTTAGAGAGGAAAAAAAAAAAAAATACACACGCACTTACTTACATCTTTCCTTCACATTTTGGCATGGTAAACACATTTCTTTTCAAAGCAGTTACCTCTCTCTCTCCTGGGACTGTCAGGGAACACCTGCCATCAGTGCAGCAGCTCTCCCCCAGCTCTCAGCTGACTCTGTGCCATGTCACCTTCCTGCCTGTCACAGCACAGCACCACCTCACCTCCACGCCTGGTGCCTTTTGTAGCATTATTTCAGAGTGAGCTTTAAAACGTATCACTTAACACTGTCAGTTGACTGAGCTCCTAGGTGCTATAGCTTCATTTTAGTAGCTTATAAACTTTTACTGTCATAATTCACAATCAGGTAGTTTTTCATTTTGCATCCCCGTGTGGCTGACAGAGCTCACGGAGAGAGCAGGTCTATCTGATGAGAGGGGAAGCACACATGGGGCTTAGTGCTACGGCTTGTCAAAGCAGAGTTCACACTGTCTGCCAGGTTACTTACACCGGCTGGTATAACTATATGAGCAGCAGGAGTCTCCTAATGGAATAGCATTTACAATGTAAACTGAACAGAAAATATGGACTTTAAAATAGTACTAAGCTATATATAAGGAATTCAGCAGCTTTTGAGAAAAAGTGAAATAGATTTTGGACGCTATCTTAATGGTAGGAAAGGTACCATACTGAAAGGTTTAAGTGAGACTGGTTGGCTCTATCAGGGTGGAACATGCACATGGGCATTAGGAGACCTGGGTTCTGCCTTCGTTTTACCTCCTCTAGAACCTCAAAGATCAGGTTGGTCTGGCAATATGTATTTTCACCAGTGCGTATAGCCAGCATTAATTAATGACTTCCTAGTTTCTGTCACAAATACTTGCTTCTTTTTTTCCTTTTAAAAGTAGGTTGACTTCCCAATGGAGTAAGTGTTATACCTGAGCGACATTATCTTCTGCTCACATGCAGTGCGCAGAGAATCCCCCTGCTGACAAGACGACTTGGGAGAACAGCCATTGGTGCTGTAACTTCCACCATACATTTTGGACAGTGAAACTACCTTTAAACACCTCACTCCTTGCCCACCAAAAGCTTTCACAAGCCATAGCTAGCACGAATCTAGAATGGGCTGACTTTGGTTCATGTTTTCAGAATTTTATTCTCAGCTACGAATGCTAGAAACTTATTGGGTCTGTTTGTTTGTTTTTGATGGAATAAAATGCCCTTGGCACTACTGTGTTTGAAGAATTCAGAACTTTTTCATCCTTCAATCACAATGCAATATGCTAACAATTCACTTTTCCCCAAAAGACACTGCCTTTGGGTTCTGTCAATCCTTTACTTTTCTATAGAGATTGCCAACAGAAGTGCCAATTACAAGGTTGGTTTGTCACATAGATAATTGCTCACTGGGAATTAACTTTCTACAACAAGCTCCTGATTTCCATTTTTATTCCAACAATAGAAATACTCAGTAGCATGAATCACCACAGAATCAGAAGTTTCCTTCAGCCAACTATTTTAAAGAACCTTTTGTTATTTGCTAGAGGTGAACTGGTTATGCATTTCATAGCAAATAGAGAAAAGAATTAGAAGACTAAGCCCAGGAAAACCCTGAGTTCCTCAACATTGCTACCAGATGTTGTCAAATTAAAAATACCTGGTAAACTTGCACCAACATTCCCCAGCCTTATCCATTTTGCATCAAAAACGTTCAAATAGACCAGAGGAATCTGATACAACACCAAGAAAAAAAAAAATGGATCCTTCCAACACAGGAGAAAAAGTAGGTGAATCAGTGACTTGCGCCAGTTGTGGTGGACAACCCCATGAGCGGCAGACAGTAAAATAAGCTATGAAGGAGTACGTGGAAAGGACTGCAGAAAACATTTGCCAGATGTGCTGGCACACACAAGGTACTTGTCACAGTGGTGGTACCCTTAGAGTTCTCAAGGGATTCACAGTGAAGCCCAAAGTCACAGAGGAAGGCATTGTTTACTGAATAATACCATCATTTTCAGTACAGGGAAAGTAGAGAAGATAAAGTAAAGAAATCATGTGAAAGAGTTTAGTTCATTCTGTACAACTCCTGTATTTTTTAACTCTATCTTTCAACATAAAATGTGACTATAGAAAAAAAAATATCAGATCTTAGAAAAGAATTGCACCTCCTATAATTTCATCAAGTTAGCAGGCATATATTCGGTGTTTAATCATATCTGAATTCAAGTCTTGGCTTCCCTCTAATCCTTGTTAGCTAAGTAGGAACCAATAGATAATACCATCTGGACTACAAGAAATATCTTTTAGCTTTATCATCATTGGTGTTTAGAATCACAAAAAGCTCCAATCAGGAAAGAGAAAAAACTAGCTATCTCAATACAACTGTGCCAGGGTAGTTTCCTTTCTCTGACCTTTCCTCCCTTCCCCCCTCCCCCCTTAAATATTTACATTAATATTTTTAGAGAACAGTACTCTAAAATGATTGACATAGGAGGACAGTTTGTGTCTTGCATCTTCTTCCATTAAAATGTTAGGAGAGGTAAGAGATCCAAAAGGAAGCAGTTTCCCAGCTTGTACTGAAAATATCACTGTCACCCATCATCTGTTTGCACTCGTCAGATTTTTTTTTTTTTAAACATTATATTTCATCAAATTCACACCATCCCCCATAAATGTGATTAACAAGTGATTAATGCAGCTTCTGTGACTGATATTTGATCAACTTTGCCAATAAAAATCTAAATAATAATAAAAATCTAAATAATTTTCTAGACTAGTGACATGAAGTAGTATATAAAAAGGTTTAAATAATATTCTCACTCTCTATGCTTCAAAATATACACTGGATGATCTTCTTCACTGCATCCTGAATTGCCTCATGGCAATCATGGCCACATTGCTTAAATATGGGGAAACCAGAAATAGTTTTGGCATAAGTTCAGTGAAACGAATCATTGCATAAAGCAAAAGCATCCATAGCCCAAGAATTACATGCAGAGACTTGTGAAATCCTACAAAAAGTGTTGCATAAACACTGTCATCATCTTTCAGCAAGAAAAGAATGAATCCCCATCTTGGTTAAATTGGTTTAGCTTTTCAGAGAAAAAAAAAAGATCAGAGTCATTTGTTTTTCCTCCACAATTTCTTAAATTGTCCATGTACCAAATGTTTCAGAAGTTCTTTAAACAGAGCTGAAAAAAAATACCAAAAGCAAGAGTATGTCATTTGAACTTACTTCATTTAGGAGTGGTCACCATTTTGTTCTTTGAAGCTCTGTCATCTTTAGAAGTTTCAAGAATTAACTGTTAATCTTTATAATTTAAAGAATTATTGCTTTGCTGATCTAAAGCTTTTCATTGGAAGTGCAAAAGAACACCTTGAGAAGCATATTATAAAAATTCAGAAAAGTACAGAATATGAATATTTCATAAGAAATGCTTTCATATAAAACAAGACCAACTCCAAGTAACTGTTACATGCTATGTCCAGCCCCAGAAACTAAATCACAAGCTTACTTTGATTCAAGACATTGAGACAGAAGTCTGGTGGGGTGAGTGAAAGAATGCTTCACTAGAGATGCTCAAGAAGCGTTTGGATGTGGTACTAAGGGATAAGGTTTAGTGGGGAAGCTATTGGTGGTAGTCAGACATTTAGACTAGATGATTTTGGAGGTCTTCCAACCTTGGTGATTCTATGATTGTACAATGAAAAAAATCTGTAACACCAGTGGAAATTCAGGCAGCTCTGCTCACTGCCACAGATGTCTTTGTACATGATGGTTCTTTGCCTGATTCATCCACTGTTTTTACCCATCTCCAGGTGACACTTGTCTGCCTGGTAATTAAACTCTAAGAGAAGTGTGAGCTTAAAAACCACCCCTATTTCAGATATGTAAACAAAAGAATCCCTGTCCTTCAGCTCAAGGTCTCAAATGCATCCCTTTTCAAATTTACTTATGAAAAAGTCATATGTATTGAACAAAGATCTATCAGCAGAGGAAAAAAAACCTTAAGCCCTTTGCCTTTCTTTAAAGACAGCTTCACAGAGAAAACTCCAGTATGGGGGCTTGAACTAAATACTGCTTAGAAGAATTAAACCAAATTACACGTAACTCACCTTGAACCATACTAAGTTTTCTGGGAATGGCATTATTTGCCTGAAAAAGGGTAAAACACATGGCAAAACCATACTGTCACAGAATCTGGTTCTTCTAGTAATTGACGAAAGGGAGTGGGGTAAAGACTGCAAGAAAGAAGTGTGTCTGGGGAAATAAATCCCTTGGATAGCTTTGAAATGCTCAATCCAACTTCCTTTTCTTTATGTCATAGTGAAACAGAAGAGATGTATTCTGCATTCTCTGAAGCAGTGATCTTGGTGCCATGGCCTGAAACCTCCTTGTAATAATTGTGGCTAACATGAACATATTTGCTCATTAACAACAACAACAAAATACATCCAAGATGATTCATTTTCTAGTATTGCAGAGGAGAATAGAGATTGGAGGTAGGGGCTTCCTGCATAGTGCCATTCTCTAATTACTCCACCTATCAAAACTAAGACTACTCCTTAAATTTAGCTTTACAGCTGTATTCATCTATTTTCTTTCTTAATTCCATCTTAACTGTGAAAGCACATCAATAAAATTTTGGCATTCCCTTCAACTCCACTGCCTATTGCTCCAGATCAATAATCAATGGCATTAGAAAACTGCTCAGAAACACCAGTCATGGGCATATTCTTACCTTGAGTGCCAGTGTGGGCTGTCTGAACAAAGAAAGCTCCCATAAAGCAGCCAGCTCCATTGAAGAGAGTTAAAAAATGCATGGAAATTCCTCGAATTCTTTCTGGTACAAGCCAGAATGATAGCAATGAACCTTTAAAATAGAAGCAGATACAGCGACAGCTTTGTTTTATTTTTAAAATAGCAATGGTAGAAGATAGATGAGAAAAATCTCCAGTCTGTGTAATACGAACTTTGTATATTTTAGCCATAGAGGCTACTGCAGAAGGGCAATTACATCTGTTGGCATAGAAGTTAAGAAAAACCCAAGGAAAACTCCATTGCAAGTACGATGTGTGAAGAAAGCAGATGTGATATTTAACTGCAGGACCTCATATGCCAGAGCCAGTGCAGCAAGGCCACTAACGAATACTTCTGAACTTCAGTGCACTGCCTTTAATAGGACACTTGATTTTAGTTAATTTAAGGCTTGGCAGTACTCCATTTCCTTGGACAGAAACCCCAGGGTTACTAACTACTTTAAAACATATTGTCCTTCACTTGTTTGCCAGAAGAGTAAACTAGAAAAAGAAAACTTTAGATGTGAGAGGATGCAGCATATAATTTTAACATGGAAGTCTGTAATTCCCCCACTGTAATTTGGCTAAAGTAAGTTATAGTAACAGCAAGCTCTTATAACAATTTTTCTTTGAACAAGTTTCTCTGGTCAAAACTTTTGCTCCTCAATGTTACACCTTGAGCCCTCATCCAGAACAGTTTTCCAAGCCCCAATATCTTCCAGTCTGCTTTATTACCTGAGTTTGAATGACCCCTATCCTTAGAAGCTTGTCAACAGAGAAGCCTGTTTGGATGCTGAGCTGTCTGGAGCATTACTGAAATAAAATGAAACTTCACAGCGACTGTCTCCCATCTCTTTTTTTTTTTTTTTTCCTCCTCATTTGGATGTCCAAATTAGAGACTTAGAAACATTTTTAAAAAGGAAAAGGTACTATGGGCAGTGTTCTTTTTTTCCTTCATTTGCAAGGGAAGCCAAAGACCTGAGTGAGAAAGCAGGTGAGTCCAGGACATCATCTGTAGATGGAACAATATAGTCTGAAACACTGGACTGTCAGTGTCCTAACTACTTTGAGTCTGAGAGCCTAGAAAGCATTTGATTATGGGCTTATTTTGTCCCCCTCATCACCAGGCTGCAAAGTATGTTTCTTGGCAAAATTCTGCTTGGTAATAGTATCCTACTTAGTAAATTATTCCTGCTGTTTCAATTGCATACTCCATTCCTCACTTCTCCCACAGTGAACAATTAACCAGCTGCTGCATTTCACCCTGGAGACCACAGCATTTCGTTGGTGGGTGAAGCGATCCCCAATATATTCTTTAACTAATAGAGCAGTTTGTTACAAGGCTTTCCATCTACAAGTGCTTGGAGAAATGGTGATGGGCAAAGGAAAGTATAGCAGTGCTTTAGCAAACATCGTAAACCTGGTAACTTTGGACAAGCAGCTACAGAGCACCCAATTGCTCAGATGCTGTCAGTGCAACACAGCTGCTGTGCTCAGTAGGATGTCTCCTCATCACCCTCCCCATCACCATCCTCATCTCATGCACTGCAGGGGCAAATGCTTGCTAATGATGCTCCACAGGATGGATTTCTTCCTCCACTTCTTTTTTTAGCACTAAGCTTTAGAAGAATAATTTCCTCCTTCAAAGCAAGCTAGGGAGCAAATTCAAGCTCCCTGCATGTGTGTGTGTGATCTTAAATTCTAACAGTGAAGGAGAGCAGTTATTTTATCATTATATATATATATATATATATATATATATATATATATATATATATATTATATATATATATATATATATATATACACAGAGAGAGAGAGAGAGAGAGTGAGAGATTTTAAGCAAGACTTCAGCATTAGGCAAAATTTATATACTCTTCTTACGTATTCTTAAAGATCTTCATGCCACCCAAGGCAGGTGATTATGTAAGCTTCCTATCAACAAAATACTGAAATGTATCTTATAAACAATTGTAAGTACCAGTGATCAAATACAGATAAGGAGTTTAACATGCCAGACCTAGCTTCTCTAGCTAGTCACTCCAGAAATGAGATTCTTCCTCTCTTTCCCCTGATTACAAGTGTGAACATTTCTGTCTTCAACTAGGATCATGTACTTTCAGACCAAGTGAATTATTATGATAATTGAATTTGACCTTCTGCATAATACAGGCAGTAAAACATCTTGAAAGGTGAAACAACTATTTCAGTGTCTAGACTGTCATTACCATTGATGTGGATCCAGTGAACGGTTCTTGTACAGTAATTCAGTTCAGACTGAAATAGAAACCAGTAGGCCGAAGAGATGCCAAAAGCTGCCCAAAATGCTCCAGTGTGCCTTGGTCATCTGCATGGGGCTGCCTCAGGGGATGCAGATCTTATGGGAGAACTATACTCTATCCCAGCAGCAGTTAAAGGCCAGGTAGTTACTATAAAAGGAGCATGCTTGCCCTGCATGCACATCTTTACCTCTATAAAAAGAGGTGCTAGGACACCTACCTGTGGGCAAAGGAATGCAAGCCTGCATCTCAACTGAAAATAGTAGCAATCTACCTATTTTAGGCACCTATCTTTATTTTTTTTTCCCATGCAAATCTCAAGCTCTGACTTAGCCCAAGGGTTCTTGAATCACACCTATGACTGTAGCTTTTAGTGAGATGCTTAGTCTTTATTTGAATGAAAGACAGTAGTTTTCTTCCTAATGCATTCTAAAAATAATTCTTAAAAAAAAAAAAAAAAACCAAACAAACAAAAACAAAAAAACCCAACTTGGTCCTGTGGGGCATCTTTTTGTTTGTTTTGTTTTTAAAAGCTGATGTCATCTTCCAGTCACTGGATTTGTGATGTGTTCTATGATAGTTAAGAGCTTTATTCCACTAGAAATATTCTTTTCATGCAGCAGCATAAGACTGTAAGCAAGCCACCTTTTAACTATCTTTTTTTTGTTGTTAAGCTTAAGAGGAAGGTCACAGTTTTCTGTTACATTTAACCTGTAACCTAGAAACCACACAACCTGCCTAGAAACCTATCTCAATTAAGTACTTGAGAGCAAATCAGATGAAGAGGCATTATGAAGGTGTTAAGTATTTAAAACTAGGGAAAATTACCTTTTTAGTGACAAACCATGACCCACTATTCTGAGTAGTCTTACAGTGCAAGAATGAAGCCAAAATTTTTTCTTTCTCTTTAAAAATTTCTGGGGTTGCACTGAGAACAACAGACACTCAACCTGTCAAACTAAATGTTTGTGGAGGTCATCTAGTTAATAACATTACCTATATATTTTTTTAAATGGATGTTGATTAGTTTATTTTTGTTAATAACTTCTAAAATATGTTTTGAAAGGTAAAACACCTTGTGATTCTCAGAAGAAAATAAGCCTCAAGAGTGTCAGTGTAAATAAAGTAAAAAGAGAAGTTTTAGATTCACAATCACAAGTGCATCTACATAATTTATGGATGACAGATGTGACTTAAGCTCTGCCTGTGCTCTGCAAGAGTGTTTATGTCTGGCTCCATTACACCAACTAAGGCATGATGCCCTGTGGAGGCATCTTCACATGACTTCTGAATGGAGTACAAACAGTAGTCCTACCTTTGCCTACAATGTTTTTCCAGCTATTAGGTCAGTGAAATTGTAGTATCTCCTTGCATATACTATGTCTGTGGAAAAACCACGTGATTTTATTACATGGTTCATTAAAAGGGTAAGCCAAATTGCTTCTCCTTGCTGTGGTCTGAATATGCTCAAAAAGTGCAAGCATGGCTCAGTTATCATGTGTATTTGTTCAGTCTCAAGAAAATCATCAGGAACAGAGTAGTTCAGAACTGAAGGAACCTCAAAAACCTATCTGGACTGGCTCCTCCATGAAGCAGCTTTCATTTCAAGGAAAAACAGTTCCAAGCCCAAAATCCTACTGTCATAATCTTCCACAAGATGGCAAGTAACACAACCCTGGGGCCTGACAAGACTGCAGCACCTCCCCCTTACATATAATACAATACCACTACATTACAGCCAGCAAGACAAGTTTTGTTACACAAAGCAGGTAAAGAATAAATCCGCTCATTAAGCCTGTGAAACAGAGTCAGGGATAAAATATTACATGATCGTTTCTTTTTAGGTAGTGGCATTCCTGGCAAATCAGGATGCTCTTGCATTAGCTTTTTAGGTTTTACTTACAAGAGGGAGTTACCAAGGCTTCAGCCACTCCAAGCAGGATGTACTGTGGAGCTAAGTGGAAGCAAGGCATGGATGAGACCAGGAGAACCTCCTCAGAAAGGGTCTGTTCCACCTGAGGAAAATGCTTGCGGTGTATTTCAGAGAAGCCAGCAACCATCACAGAAAGTGCAGCACATAATTGACCTGCAACTGGGTTAAGAGCAGAGTGTTCACCAAGGTTGCACTTATAGGAACACCACATATTGACAGTGAAGCAGAGTCCAAGCACATACAAAGGAAAAGTTTTTAAAATTTTAAAAACAAGAAGAGATCCTTCTCCATGAATTTGATTCTAAATCTATGGTAAAGAGACACGAGCTCAGCACACACAGAATGCAAGGATGCAGGGTAAAGGAGAGATTTTAAAAAAATATTTTAAATTATTGTTATTTTTTAATATTAGAGGAGATGAGGAAAAAAAAAAAAAAAAAAGGCAGGTTGTCCAGTTACCACAAAAGATTGAGTACTAAGAGCAGGGGAAATCCTACAATTCAAGTAGCAATAAATTTCTGAAGTATACAGACAATATCTGTTTTACTTCATTTTTTCCTATACAAAAAGTAGTGCAGGCAAACTACTGTATTTCTAAAGTAACCACACCATTCCCTCAGCTTAAGACTGCTACCTGAGGCAACAGAAACTTCAGCACATACTGTTAACCAACATGTCACCAGAATATACAGCAGCTACCTTTGTGTTATCAGAAAGCACACAGAACTGGAAACTGGTGGGTTTCTTTTTTTCCCCGTCATTTCTAGACAAAGGAACACAAAGCTCTCATGTCAGAAGTTATGCACTTCTCACTTGGCACTAATATATCTCTCCACATTATCACCTCTTCACTACTCTTAGCATTATTAATGGAAAAACCTGTGCCCTCACATACTTGAGTTTGAAATTACCCTTCCTTTTATTCAGAATTTAAAGAATTATCTACTTCCTTAACTATCTGTGCCATCAAACGAGCACCAGTGTTAGTTCAAAGGGGGGGGTTGGAGGGGTGGGGGGGGGGGGGTGATGAAAGGCTTGGCTGTGGGAAGAGGAAAGCTGAAAGCTGTAGCAGCCCAGACTTCAGTGGTCTGAGAGTGTGTTCTTCTTCACTGTATTTTATGAGAAAACCTGAATTAAGGGACACATACAACAAATAGATATTCCATTCTCTGTTGAATTTCCTGTACTAGCCGGTTAAATCAAGCAGAAAAAACTCAATACACCTAAATCCATGTTTTTAATGAAGAGGTCCACCATCTAAATTCACTTTAAGATTTTCAAGTTCGCTACATCATGCTAGATTTACGAATAAACCAACAATTATAAAGTAACAAATTACAGTTTTCACACAGGTCTTACTAGATAAATCAGATAGTTCAACACCGTCCCATGGTTTGTCTTTGAAACTTTTAACATACTGAAAGTTCCCAGGAAACTATTTAAATTTCTTCCTCTTAAAAAGTTCACCTTAAAATATAGGTATAAGCTAGCTTAACACTAACATCCTATTTGTACTTTCAATTTTGTTCCTGAAAATAATTGTGAATTTAATTAACTGTTGGCAAAGATATTGGCACTTAGAGGTCTTCCATATTTGCAGGTGTAGTCATATGCTTGGATATCTCAAGCCATTGCCTGTACTCAGAGGCATTTTTTATGCCTCAGGTAATTTATCACCCCTAACAGAAGGCTATTTTAATAAATGAACCCATTAAGAAGAAAACACTGCATATATTCTACTGCTGTTCAGTGTAACAGGATATAACATTAATACTTAGTTTTCCTTAAAACCATGGAAACTTCATCTGAATGTGCTTTCTGTGCTTTAATGCAGATGTTATTTTAAAAACTAGGGTAATTGCAACCTGCTGTGTTATATGCATCTGGTTTGTATAAAACTTAATAACACTCTTAATTAGGCTAATTTACTCAGATTAATACCTCTATGTGTGTCAGTACTCACTGTGCTGCATGCCATGGGGCACTGAATTAATAGTAACACACTGAGAAAATAGTCGTTTATAAATATTTTTGTCTGAGGTTTGTAATACAGGCTGCATGATAAAACATGTGGGAAGTTTAATGAGAGCATCTCTGGAAGGGAGTAGCTTTAAGTGAACACAGAATGCAAGCTGTTTTTCTTGTGGAATTGCATGTAGTTGATATCAGAAGACTGTTGCAGATATCCCTCCAGATCTCAGAACAGAGGAAGTCTGAGGTTAGGGATACCATGGCAAAGGGGACCAGGAAACTGAAGAAGAGTAATGTCAAAGGAAAGCAGTCCAACTTCATCAGGCATCACCTGTAGTAAAATGTAATAAAATTATCTCTGCTTTTAAGCCATGAATTTCCATAAATGAGCCCCAAATTCACGTCTGAGCTTAAATGCTTCCTGTTGAAAGCACTGGAACTAATAAAAGCAGAGACTTCTACACACTACTTTTACAAGGAAAAAGAGCTCTGAAAATCCTTCCTTTCTTTCCTTTATGTAACTGAAGCGCATAAGAAGGAATGTGTAAGTTATGTTTTAGATTAGTATTCATTCAAATGCTAAAGACTTGGACAATAATATATTACATATTTAACTTCAAATTCTAGTGCTAGAGAGGAAACCTGTACTTCTCCAAATAATCTTCCACTTGAGAAATGTTGAAAATTGAGAACAGCACATGATGCACATTTGTTTGTTTATGCAATCAGTAGTCTGTGACTTCAGAACTTGGGCAATTTTAGAAATAGCTATTGCAGATAGAACTAGACTAACTTTTTTTTTTTTAAAAAAAAAAAAAAACAAAAAACTTCCTACTTGGGATTCAATTAAAGACTCAGGAATGGACTGTAACAGTGATAAGTTCCATAGAATCATCATAGAATCATAGAAAGGCCTGGGTTGAAAAGGACCACTGTCATCATCGAGTTTCAACCCCCCTGCTATGTGCAGGGTCGCCAAACACCAGACCAGGCTGCCCAGAGCCACATCCAGCCTGGCCTTGAATGCCTCCAGGGATGGGGCATCCACAACCTCCTTGGGCAACCTGTTCCACTGCTTCACCAACTTCTGCACGAAAAACTTCCTCCTAATATTTAACCTAAACCTTCCCGTCTCAGTTTAAAACCATTCCTCCTTGTCCTATCACTATCCCCCCTTGTAAACAGCCGTTCCCCTTCCTGTTTATACACTCCCTTCAAGTACTGGCAGGCCACAATGAGATCTCCCTGGAGCCTTCTCCTTTCCAAGCTAAACAAGCCCAGTTCCCTCAATCTATCTTTATAGGAGAAAGAATTCTAGTAAGCTGCAGTCCTAATGTCAATACAGGGATAGCTTAAAAAATATGAAAAAAGCTTGTATTTATAACTTAGTTATTTAAATCCAAACTCATAATTTTGAGCAACAGAATCTTTTTCAAGAATCAGAGAGCTACCAACAAAGATTAACCCCCTGAAAAACCCCTTCCAAATTAAAAAAATGTAAAGAATTAGGAAAAAGCATATAGAAAGTAACCAGTATGAAGTAAAATGCAAACCTAAATGGTTAGTGCTATTTCTTCCACCAGTTCCTTAGGACGACTTAGTTCTTTCCTCAGTGTTTGTCTCAATACATTTTATTGATCAGAAGAACTTCAGTCTTCTTCATCAATAAAAACTATGCCTTTTTCTCTAAATATCTAACATTTTTTAGGACTGTCTTTTCTGAAGTTTCTTTGAAATATACCTACCTCTGTCATCCCAAAACAAATCTTAGTATTTATAGTTTGAAATAGTGGTAAAACATAGTATCAACTGCTGAGTGTTTTTTTTTTGTTTTTTTCTTCCAAAACAAAAATATGTATCAAAACTTCATAAACAGATTTTAGACTTACCAATGTAAATTGTTGGAGAATGTCCACTTGCCTTGGAGCTGAAGAGATATGAGTTAATGCATTCCAAAATTGGAACAAGAATCAGTAGCGGCACGATGCTTATCACATTCATCGCAGCAATTGGCAATACAAATCCACTGAAGTTCAAGTTGGAATTCATGGTTTGGAGATAATATCCTGAAGGAATCTGTATTGTGGAATACAAACCAACTTCAGCGTAAGTTACTTTTTATTGGTTTTTTTTTTTTTTTTTTTCCTGTAACAGAAGCTTCTTCAACACTTCCTTCTGAAGAAGTCACAGAAAACCAATTACACACTAACCAAAAGGAGTAACCATTCATGATTACAGCCTTTCAGGTAGTAACTCTCACTCTCTGCTAGGCTTTAACATTATCTACTTATTTCACTTACTTCTCAGTTTAACAAATCTAAGGAGCAGCCCATCAGTTTATATTAGCTCTAATGAAGATCAAATAAACCATCAGTCAACATAATAAATTCTCTTGAGTACTTCAGTGACTTCTTACATGTCTTCACAGTGTGCAGCATGACTCTTTTCATTTTAGAATAGCATGATGCAGAGTTGTCTTGAATTTCTAATTGTTTGCTCTAAGTGAAAGAATATTTTAAAGACATTCTTGCCATCACATAGCTTTAAGAGCTACATAGATTTAGCCATAGTCTTTGAAGCAGCTTAATGTGGCTGACATTAATGTGACTGGCATAGCAGCTGTGAAGGGCTACTTTTTTACTTCTGTAAATCAAAAACCAGAAAACAGTACTCAATTCAGCAACATTCCAATGCTATTCATCAGGATATGAAGTTAAGCAGACTTAAGACTGTCTTTCACTTCAAAAAGCAAATAGTTCCTATTTGTTTGATGATACATACAAATTGGCTGAGTTTATTGACACATACACAAGAAAGCCCGCTGTTTATATCAACCAACTTTTCTGCTTGTGTTTTTTGAGGAACCTTGGTATACTAAGCACTGAAACTTCACTAACAACAAGGAGTTACAATCCACTTCATTTTACAGACTGATAAAAAAAATAGGTAGAAAAGAGATAACTTGAGTAATTCACAGAAAGCAGCCATGGCAGAGCTCGATGTAGAATGGATTTCTTTACTCTCATTTCTGCTTTCATAGCATTTTGAATTTCTGAAGTTTTGTACATGGCTTTTCCATGCAACTGGCAATGCCAAATCCAGATGGAATATTACTTGTAGCTATCTGAAAATTAAAGTGTAGCTAGTAACCCAGATCTTCAAGGGTTACTCATCAATTATTATAGTCAACTGTAGTCAACATAATTTCACTCGATGCTAAAGAGTTGTTCAAATGCTAGATGTAAATAAGAATACTGTCACCCATATTTCATTTCCCCTCAAAAAAATAGAAGATGTAAAAGGATGAATAAATAGAAACAGAATCATGACAGATCAGACATAAGCTAAGTTACATTGGTTCCTCATTTCCATTGCCTATTGGAAATCAGAATTGACTTATTAGGAATTATCATCAACATGAAATCTGTTAATAGTATGGAGAAAATACAATTAATCTTTATGAAAAATATCAATCTATTGCCTAGTCTAAGAAAAAACCTTAGACATATCGGAAATTCTGCTGAATGCCATTGCTTTCAGGAGGTGCAAGCAGTCTTTTCCAGATATATACTTAGGCACTACAACAGAGATTATTGATTCCTGACTCATTTCCATCTGGTCATTAACACATAGCCTCAGTCACTTGTGTGTTTGTTTTTATTTTGTCTTCCACTCTCCCTGGCATGGAGCTGAGTGAGAGAAGAAAAGGTAGCAGATGAGCAGGAATTTTTAACAGTTGCAAGATAACGTCAATGAAATAGTGTATGTTACACATTTGTAAGAATTTCCTTAAGCACCCTATGTATGCATTTTAAAACCAATAACTAAAAATGAATTTCTAAATTTGTTACGCCAGTTGCCAAAGGGTAAGCTGCTTCAAGCTCCTGCTTAGCCAGGATCATCCAGTCAGAAATTAATCTGAAGGAATCATGTCAGTTGAAGCAACTCCGTGAAATATTTACATATCATTCATACATTTGGGCTTTGAAAGAACTGTTTCCATAAATGGAAAACTACACATTTCCACTGTAGATGCAGCAGACATATAAATCTACCAGAACAGTAGAAATATAAACTGAAACAGCAAAGAAAGATTTTATGCCTTCCCTAAAAATTGAGTGAATATTTAAGAAATTGGAAAATTGTGTGTTTCACAGGAGTGCTGAGCCTGAATCTCCAAAACATGAAGAGCACAGGAGTCTCAGCACTAGATATTTCAGTCGAAGGGATAGATAGAAATGAGCAGAAGAAAGACACAGGAACTATATCGCAGCAAGGCTGATTTTAGTTATTTGATGAGATGAAGACTATTCTGCAAGGTGGTTCTGTTGGTAAAGCAACAGTTAAGAACCACGTGAAATGGTAGTAAACAGTCCTTTTTTGAGATTTGGTTTGGAAAGTTGTTTACTCACCTGCATAATACATGTTCTGTAAAGAATTTGGAAAGCAAACAATGGGAAGAGCCTGGCAAGTGACTTTGTACTTTCCACTTGAGTCTCACTGTACTGACCACCATGATATTCCTTGGCATGATCTAACCAGCTGGATACATCTCCACTAAAGTAGCGATACCGCACACAGCATGTTTTCAGTGCACTACCAATTACCCCAAAAGTTGTCAGAAGGGAACTGTCTGGAAAAAATCAGACATAAGGCGTTAGTACATTTTTATTTGCTGCCAAAAATAACAGAACAAAGCATTTTGTGAGCAAAAATATAACTTGATATATCGGGAGGTGTTGTATTACCTTCCCTTGTTTTGGCTTTCTCTTGAAAGAATTTAAACCCAAGATAGGAATGAAATGTCGCATCTCTGCTGAAGTCCAACAAGAGCCATGTAGAAGTGAAGTGAGAAGGAAAGGGAGCTCAAAGGAGGGCTGATGGGACAGAAAGTTTTAAGGAACATGTTTCAATGTTAGAGGTATCTTAGGACTCCCAACGCGCTGTGGAAAAAGCTTCCAGTCTAGTTGTTGGCATATTAAAATTTGTCCACAAGTAATTGCTAGCTTGGTTCTTTCTCGAAGAAAGAAATATTAACAAGGACAGAATTGTTACCTGCATTCTTGAAGATACAGATTTATTTACCTTTGGTAAGTTGCCCATCCATGAGAATGAAAGCTATAGCATCTCTCTGCCTTTCTGATGTGTTGAAACACTATAGAAGCCATGTATATAATGTCCAAATATAACATGAATTCAGAAGATGGTAGAAGAAAAAGTTTCCCTATCACCTCTGCTGTTGAAAGTATTTTCTAGAATGTTCATCTGACACCTATAGGATATTCTTCCAAAACTAAGAAATGGAAATTAAAAAAAATAATGACTGTCTAGCATTAACCTGTGGACTGTTGGCACAGTTAAATAAAACCTGAAGTAGAGAACATGACCGAAGCTTCCAAACATAGACACTACATACAGATTTTATTTTCGGTGACTTTGCTAAGCTAATATTCTTACCAATCACTGTAAGCATTGCTAAAATTCAGACCCAACGTATTTCAAGACCAGACCTGAGAACTAAGAACTATTCAGACTTTCAGATTGAACTGACTAAGAAGATAATCAGAAAAATGTGAGAGTTAGAGCTCTTGTCATAGCTCCTTAGTGTCATTTCAATCAGTTACCTACAAAAAGTTACTTGTACAAAATATGTATGTTTCTTACAACAGAATTCAAAGCAGATTAGTAAGTGGTAAACTAGTAAATAGTTGAGTAAAAGTTGTAGTTCAGTCAGGAACTTGAGTCATACGTAGCCTATATCAAGAGGATATTGCCAGTTACATATTTAGAATAAGTGTCTTACCCATTCTTCAGAAGCAAAGCAGTAAAACCTACAATACTCACTCCGCAGTAACAAATTTTTCAGATTACAGAAGTACACAACTGAGTAAACATCATATACTCTGTATTATTATTTCTAATGTTTTCTTAAGAGCATCTATCTGTATATATATTAAATTACATATTCCAGAAGGAAGTTTCCCCTCTCTGTTATACTTAAGATCTTGGTTCTAACACTCTGCTACTATGACCTTTATGTAATCATGAATATCTATATTACTTAATCATAATGAAAAAAAATCTTTATACTGCACTCTAGATAGTGGATACACATTTTTCCCTCCATCTCTGATCACTGCCAATCCTAAAATTTTTAGCAATGGAAGAAATGCAAATTTAGTCCATGTTTGACAGGTAAACATAATTGAATGCATGATCCATATTTGAAGAGTTACATCAGAAAAAAAAAGAAACACACAAAAATCCTGTAAGGTCATCTATGGATTTGAATAACAGCTTTGATGTATTTAATGTTTCACTGTCTTACCAGAAGATACAAAGTATGTTATGTTTTATTTTGACTAAAGAGATAAAAACACATTTTTCTAGTAATTAGCATTCTGCATAGATGTGGAAAACACTTAAGTTGAATAACATTCATAGAAAAAAAACAATACAAGAAATATTCTGCTAGTTTTGTAGATGACTAATATAGCAAAAGATTGGCTAGTATAACACAAGATTGTGTTATCCTTTTTAGTGGTGTCAAACTACTTAAACAAGTAACCAGATTTGGTTCATTTGAATCATTCCAGTGCAGGCTAGATGCTGAAGGCTATTCTTAGCTTCTCAGGTTGTAAGACCTGTAGCAAGACACAGAGAGCTTGACAATTACTGTTCTCTCTATAAGAAGAACAGCTTAAGTTGACACTAGCCTTTGCATACCTCAGTCAGATATGATTTTTTGAAGGGCATTGGGGAAGGGGTGCATTTCTTTCTAGTATTTCCATCACATTACATTCCAAGATACTTGGTTCACACATTCTTTCATTGCTAATAATTTTTTTATTGGACTGAACTAATAACAAAAACACAATTATCTTTATTTCAGTTTCTGTGTTCTACTGGAAAAAGTAGAGCAAGATTTGGGCACTTCTATAGACTTATTCTTACTTAGGCACTTAGGCTCCAGTGACATTTCTGTGCTTGGTTAAAGGAGAGAGATAGTTGTCATCAAAACATTTTGAAAAGCTGAAGTACTAGTTAGCACTAATTGCTAACCGATGAGCCAACAGAAATATAAGAACTTCTGCTTTAAAATATCAAAAGTCTGCTTTGGAGCTATTTAGAGCTATTCAGTATTTTCAATTGTTTTCAAATACATACAAATACCCAAGGTTGTATTGGAAAGCACACTGAAATAATAAGCATGAGATATTCTGGAATACTGAGATATTACAAAGTTTGCTGATTGATTTTGTAAACTCACTGCTTAGTTGCTCAGTTGTAACTTCATACCAAACTCTGGAGCATGCTTGTAAGTGAAAACAAGTACGTTTGGTACCAACACCTCAACACAACTTGGGCATAGATTGGACAAAACACAATGACATTAGTAATGTGCAACATGCATGTAGTATCTATTCCTGTACATGAAACTGCTCTGAACCTATACCTGGACAAGGCAGAAGATGTACATAAGTTCACTAGAGGCTGCTTTCAATTTTTCAGCCTATCCAGAATCTATATATTTATCTTTACAGAGGATGTTTTCTCTTAGACTGACTCCATAGAGGTAAAACCCCTCCCAAGCTATCTACAATCAAACAGGTAATTGTTTTGAAAGAACTTATTTAGATGTCCAAAATGATGCTAAAACAATCTCTAAATATACTTCCTCAGAGATAGTTCCTTCTTACCTGTTTTGGGTTTGTAAATCATTTCTCCACGCACCATGTGAATTGTGATCATGGCCATAAGCACAGACACAAATGGGAGAAGAAAACCAAGATTTCTCGCCACAGATTGCTGGATATAAGAGATGCTGACAAAGACAACCGCTGAATTTAAGTTAATCAGCCAATAAAACCTAGTACACAGAGACAGAGAAGCCAAGATTAGAAGAGTTGAATAATTTACAGCTTTTATATAATGGTATAGTTAAGTATTACTGTTATGGACAGCATCAGTAACACACACACACCCACTTACACAGCAGAAACACCTAAATTCGCTTGGACGTTTCAGCTTGGTGAGGTAAGCGATAAAACTAAGACACTAAGGCAGAAGAGCTGAACAAATTATCAACCTAGAGCCATAAATAAACTTGTGAATAGGAATAATTAAATGTCAGCATTTACCATTTATACTTTTAATATCTGATAATGTAAGCTTAATGTATGTAAAATTATGAAATCACATTTTTAACCTTAACAAAGAAATAACATTGCATATAACAGCCATTCAATTATTTCCTCTGGTGTGAAATAAAACTTCCTACCCCAACTTAGGTTTGAGAGAATATTGTACAAATAGTATCTACTGGAGCAGTCGACCAATATATCCCACTTACTAAGGAAATGCTTTGGACAGTAGGTTTATAAACATGAAAAAGCTGCTTTTCTGTGGATTAAACATTATTTTGAGACATTTAAAAAACAAATTCATTTTGAGTAGTCAGTGATCTAGCTTTCAGGGTACTTGCTTTGGGTACTTTGGTGATTCTTCTCAGCTCTAGTCCATTTGCTTGAATTATCAGACTAAATGTCAGGCAGGTGGCCACAGTGAGCAACAGCTTTGTTAGTAGACTTTCCCCTTCACTCTTAGAAGTCCGTAACATATTTTTTGGCAAATCCTTTAAGTAAAAGCTACTTCTAAAAGGGAAGAAGTACAAGAGGAATGGATCTGTAGAGCCAGATATCTTGTGTTAAGGACCCAGTATGTCCAGCCAAGGATTTTACTCTGTACGTTTCAGTCTGACCCTGTGGACTCAAAGTTTACTATTGGCTTGAGAGTAGCAAATGTACCATAAATTTTGCGGTTACGTATTCTGAAAGACCTCAGCTTCTGCATTCTGATTTCAACTCAAGAGCATATTTCTGATATAAGCAAAAACGTTATCATGAAATGTCTAGAAAAAAAAGATCTTACTAGAATATATTATTGGAATATACTCATTATGACAACTTAAGAAGTAATACCCAGGTGACTTTTAACTTAAAAGCATTGTTACTGTACTTGAAAAGCTTCCACTTGCTATAACAATTGAGATGAACTTGCTGAACAAAGACAGATCTAGAGGAAAAACACTAGAAAATATTCAAAAACTTAGCATTGTCACTTTCTTTTAATAATTCTGAAAATGGAATATGTTTTCTGGCTCTTATAATACTATTTAATTTTTTTTTAATTGACTGAGCCAGATGACCTTAAGTTTCAATCCAAATTCAGACCCAGATATTCCACATATTTGAGAAAGGCTCAATACCCAAACCACGTATTTACCTGCACAACTTGTTAGGAGGAGATTAATTTTATTTAGAATCACTTCAGAGTTCTCTATAAAGAGAAAGTGAAAAAGATAAAAGGGGTAGACTAATTATTTAATTTAACGTTAAAGTGTCCTGGGCTGACAGCATAAATGAATTCACTGTATATGGAAAGAAAAGCGATTTAGAAGAGACATAAGAAAGAAGGGAAATATAGTTCCATCATTCCCTGTCTTCTTCTGTAGCAGATCAGTAAGATGAGACAACATTGCTAGCTGCCATCCTTTGTCTCAGTTGTGTACCTTTCACTCTTATTGTCTGCCGCCATGGACAGAATTTGTTTAAGAGGGAACAGCCATAGAGCATTTTGGAAGTTAGAACCAGGTCCTAGATGTGCAAAGCAATCTTCTTCAGGAATTGAATTAAACAGCAGGTAGTTGCAGGTTTATACTTCATCATTTCATTTAAAACCTACCTTTAACATAGTAAGTATGAATTTCTTTTAAACAGAATGTAGCTAAGGACATAAGCTCTTACTCATCAGAAGTATACAATCACCTTTTTTACCTATTACTTCAAAGTTCGATCCTGTGACAAATACCTACCAAGAAAAAACACTCTACCAAGAAAAAAATGATTATATTCTGAGAGGTTGTAATGAGATTAAGACCACTAAGAATATAACTTCGTTTTTAAAATTTTGAGATAGCAATTAAATAGCCTCTTTTCAGATGCCATTGCAAAAAACACACATGTGCCTTTCTTAATATTTCCAAAGCCCCAAGAAATAACTCATTTGGATTTCACCCAAGGAACTTCTTATTCAGATTATGTCTTCTTTGTAATCAACACTGAGAAATGTCACTTTGATTAAACACAACTCTGAATGGCTAAGACCACAGTACAATAAATTCTCCAGCTCTATCTTTCAGAACAACTGATTGCACTCCAGTCTTAATCCCCTAGAGTCTTATTTAATCAAAATGATGTTGCTAATTAAGGATTAAAAATCAGAATAGAGTAAAAAGATTTTTTTTTTTTCCTTCTCTCCTATGGGCAGGTCAGGGAGGCAGAATCTGCTCTACAGAACTAAAAAGTCTCATCCACCTTCGGTAAAGCTGCTTTATTCACCACTGAAGTTTGGATTTAATTCAGAATTCTCTGATACTAACATAATTGGTGGAAAAAAGAATAGCCAGGAGAGCTACTCCCAAAGGAATAAAGATCTGATTCACAAAGATCTTCATTGACTCCTCAGTGTTTTGTTGTCAATATGACAATGTGCTAAGTTTTGATTTTATTTAGTGTGTGTGTATATAGGGAAAGGACAGGAAAGGGGACAGTTTTAGACTTTATTTCCACTCTGACTCAAAGCAGAAGTCGTACAGTTTAATCAGAAGGTCCAGGTGAATGTTTAGTGCTACGAAGTGATAAATGGAGGCAAACAGATGACCAAAAATGATCCCCCTGACACAGAAACAGTTATTTTGAAAAAGAAAAAACAAAAACCAACAACTGATTTTTAGAAACTATTTTACCTCTTCAATTTTTCCTCCAAATTTTCCTGAAAAATGAGATATTGTAAATGAAATATAAATGTAAAGTGCATCATCTGATACCAAGTGTTCTGAGTGCAAGATCCAACATGATATATCATTTTCTTACCACTGATATCAGCTGTTAGAGTCTACTAGCATTCTTCAGTTCCAACAAACCAGCAAATTCTATTGCTACCTGTAATTTCTAAAAATTTACTCCAATGCAAATTCTAATGTATCACTGAATTTTGCCACAGTCAGGGATTAATAGCAAAATTAAATCAAATTATAGATATGTTAGCTGTAGAACAATGTATTCCGTTTGTTTTCCTAACAGCAGCAGGACACTAAGTGTGAGTACTTGAGCAAGTTATGCAGTCCTGGTTCTTGACTGAAGATTACTACTGAAGACCAAAATAGATGATCACCAGTTGGTCCTGGAAAGCAAGAACTATACCAAAGGTTTTGACATAAATTCTTGGAAACTGTTTCAAAGCTTAAATATTCTCCGTTTAAAATCCAGTAAATAATAACAATAATTGCAAGTCCACAGGGAATTTCAAAGCAATGCAATATCATTCTCTGCAGATACTTAGCTGTTGTTAAGTTACTAACCAGTTGAAAAAAGAAAGAAGTTCCTTTGGTCCACAGTTCTCAAGGTTGTATGCACTTAGTGGACAAACTATAGCTCTTATGCCTCCTATTCCCAGGCTAGCTGTGAGTAGTGCAAAGTAGAACACTATTTTCTGCTCCTTTTTGGTTAGCGTATGAAGAAGAATATGTCGTTTGTCAATGTAGATATCTTCAAAAGGGAAAGCCACAATGGGTAGCAGGGCTGTGCCTGGAATCAGAAGGAAATCATTATTCGAAATAAATTAAAGTCAGACTGATAAAGATGAATCTGTAAGCAATTATGTTGAAAAGATGTAAAGCAGAAGACAACAGATGAGAGTGAAGAGGAAGGGCCTTACTTCTGCAGAAAGCTAGAAAGACAACACCACTGTGAGCCTCTATGAAAGCAGTTTTCTCTAATATGCTTGCAAGGATTTAGGTCCTTCAATATATTGAAGAGCTTACCCTGGAAACGAAAATCCTCCCATTGTGCTTTTCCCATTTCTTGTGTGTAGAGAGCAGTAGCTCTCCACTAGCCAGCAAGTGTCAGGTAAGGTGTGTAACTGCCCAGCAAAGAAACTAAAACAGCCAAAAAGCCTCCCCATTGTGGAATAATTAAGATTTCAAAAAAAATTATTTAAACTGAGTCTTTAATGAGGTCTATGATTTAACAAAGAAAGTCTCAAAGGTTTTACTTTTTGTTGTTTGTTTTTTAGCTGTTCTGGTTTTCTGTTGCAGCTTCATGGGAAAAATATGTTTTTAGGAACTTAACTCACAAAAGCACTGCCATGAATTGCATTTACCAGCTCTAGTCTGCAAAGCAATCTATAGCTGACCAAATCTGAGACTTATCTGTGCTTTAATTGGAGACAAACTCAAAATATCACGAATTTAAACATCAGCTTGACATTAGTCAAGGTTTAAGACTACAGCTGTGCATCAAACGCTTACATTTAGAAGCATTCAATTAACCCGACAAAACAGTCACCAGCTCTGAAATGCACTGATTGCTGCAGAATCTTTCTATTTAGCTTAAACAGTTTTGGAGATCTTTTTTGCATAGAAGATCTCCGGAAGAGCAGTTGGGGAAGATTTGGATTTCTGTTAGAAAGCAAGCTCTCAATATAATTATTAGGATATATCCTTCATACTCACTGCAGTGTTTGTTTATACTGATGTGTGCTTAAATGCATCTTTCCCAGTTATCCAACTACAACAGTCATGTCTTCACCTACAACAGAAATGTTGCTACCAACAGCTGGGAAGTGCTTTCCATTCTTTTTCTCAAACTCTGTCTAAAACATCCCATTTGCCCTAAACACTAGCAACAACAGATGCTTGTTAAAGGGACCAGTTCTAAGAAAGAGCTGAGCAACTGCAATCTTAAGAGCTAAGCCACGTTAGAGAAGTAAAGATCACACACCTGCTAATCCATAAGACATGAAAATGCTTCTTAGCCTTGCTCTATGTATTACCTCACAAAAACACATAGGCAGAAAACTGCAAAGTGTTTTGTAGAGGAAAAAATGAAGTAATTAATTATGAGCAAAACTGGCCACGAGCTTGGAGAAAATTATTGATTTTCAGTGTTCAACAATACATTTCTGTAACAGAAGTATTGTAGCATTAAAGCACACCTGGGTGTCACCTACCTAAGAAGTGTAGAAACATGCAGATGCACACCAGCTTGATCCTCCCCACAAGGCACTCGGCGAGCCAGCCAGCCAGCACTGGCGTCAGCATGGAGGTGCCCACAAAGCACATATTTACAATGGCAGCCTGGTAGTTGCGATAGCCAAGTCTGATGGTGCAGAAGAGGATCATATTGCAGACGATGCCAAAGAATGTGAACCTCTCACACAGCTCCACCAGCAGCACACAAATAGCCTCCTGGACTTTCTTCTCAGGCAGAGTCAGGTTTCCAGCATGGTTTCTTCTACCAGGCAGCAGGTTTTTCTCCTTTTCAGTGTCAGCTGTAAGCTGCTTCTCTTGAACATCACCACTGCCTGCACCAGGCATGCTTGACTTCTTTGACTAGGACTCAGGAGGGCAGCTTAAGTTACAGGTATACTTCTGTTCTCCTCCACTGTAATTAGCAAACTGGTAAGACTCTCACTTTGAATTCCACACTTTACCACTACAATTTCGTAGGGCACCAGTCACTTTTGTGCTATTACATATAGGATCAAAGAGTTTCCAACAAATAAATTAATCAGAGACATACCAACGTTTCAACTTCTGAATTTAGCAACATTCAGGAACACAGCCTATTTAATTAATCCATTCATATATGAAAAACATTTTTTCCCCAATGTATGTTATCTGTTAAATTACTTGAATCCAATTCAGTACATACAACTCTATTTGTATATTAAAGGTAAAGGTTTAAATACACAGGAAAGCCAACATTATCAGCAGATTTTAAATAATAAATCAAGAAATGTAGATATAGTAAACTGGAGCTTTAAATAGGCAACAGATGAAAAATTGCAAGCAGAGTTTTTTTTTCCAAAAGTTAGCAGTATCTAATTTATTAGATTTGTTATATTTAGTTGAAATTCAGATAAGTTAATTAGAAAAATAAATAATGCAACTACATTTATGTTAGGGAATCAAATTTTAAAAGGAAATAAGTAAGTTGAATGTATTAGCAAAGAATAAAAGCTCTCTGAAAGCAACGTAAACCAAAACTGCTTTTCTAACTAAATATTGTGTGGCAATACATCATTTCGGACAAGAGCACATACAATTTCTGCCCAGTAAAAGCAATCACTAGCTTAAATAATATTTCTGATGAGACAAAGTTGCTCCTTGTGCCTCTCATCCACAGAAAAGTTTGCAGTTTTCCCAAATCAGTTTATTTGTTTCTTGGAGCTCATTAAGGTGACTATCACCTTTTTGAAACTCCCAAAGAAGAATGAGAAGTACTTTAGACAAACATAAATGCATATGCATGTTGCAAAGCAGTGGTAAATCAGGTGTATTTCTTTAAGAAGATCTCTCAATGCCTCAGCATTTTTGTGTCATATTTTTCTAAATGTCTACATAACAATTTTCATTTTACCTTCTCAGACCTATTAAGGCTTCTACATCCCCAAACTGATGCACAATAGTATATAACCAGTACTGATAAAGATAGATTCCTAGACTACTTCCAAATTAAATCTTTGAATGCTACTGCCAAATTCTAGTTTACTTCCTTGTCTTGTTTAGAAAGTATCTGACTTAAACACAAAGCCTAGAAAATCTGAAACTTGAGTCTACATAACAAAACACTTAAAATACCTTAAAATAATTCTAAAATACATATTTTTAAAACTGAGTAAAAGTCAAAAGCCAGAATTCAAACACTACAGAAATTTTTGTCAGAGATGTCCAAATGAGAATGAAAATAGCCATGTCATGTAACATAACCAAGAACTGCTTCTGTCTTTTCACCTACAGTAGCTACAGAGATTTTCATTTGGACAAACCCAGCAGAGAAATCCAACCTAGAAATCACCTGTAACTCAATCAACCTCACTAAAGCCTAATGAAGCCAACTCCAAATCCAAACACAAGTAAAAACTGCTTATAGACCAAAAGGCATATATGTCTTTCACTGCACAGAGATACTCTCATTTAACTGTTCAGCAAGAAAATGTTATTCCCTTACTTTATTTTTTTTTTTTTAGGAAATATAGCCTTTAAGGAAAAACAAGAATCAGATAGAAAACACCAGGATAAACACATTCTTACTACCATGGGCACTTCAGTATAAAGTACCCCAGTTTTCTACAAGCTATTTTTCTCTTAAAAAGTGCAAAGTTTACCTGTTCTCATAGGTGCTAATAATTCAAAGTGAACCATATCATGGAAACTACTAGAGACAGCAAGGTTGCTAACCAAAATATCTGTATCTTAGTCTTCATGTAGTTTCATTTACTGTAACTTTTGATAACAAACAAGGGAAAGGAAATAATTGGCTGAGCTTTATATATGCCATTGAAAGGAGGCAGTGGTGATTGTTTTCATTTTTTTTTAATTCTGAATTGCCTTTGCATGTGACTGTTAAAGGCATGGTGATCCTGATAGTCACAGGTAGCAATCAGTAAATGAGTTAATGATGCCCTCAGTGAAAGCACTGTGGTCTTTCTTCATCTAGTTATTTAACCACATCTGCAGCAAATATAGGTGGTCTGTTAGGGTATTCCATGATGTGGTTTTAACTGAGTTCTCCTTGGATCACCTGGTATTCTCTTAGCCTACTCTTAATGAAAGAGGTAGTAAAACTACATAGAACAAGAATTAAAAACATAAATTTAATTTCAATATGAACTGCCTTTGTTTTTTTTCTTTTATTTTTTGTCTTTTTTCCCCATATGTTTTCATCACTTTGAGCAATATCTTATTTCATGGGGAAGATTACGAAACAATTTCTGTTTAAAATCTTACCTTAGACAACTATTTCAGAGATTTCTGTGCAGGCAGCCGTCAGTCAGAACTGAGATGAACTGGAATCAATTATAGGTTATGATGGTCTTGTTTTGTCTTGTAGTTCACGGCATTTGAAGCCTGCATCTGATCCTTCTGAAGAACTTTGCGAGCATTACTAAAAATTCAGGATAATGTTTGCCTGCATTTTTGTTTGACTACATACCAGAAGAACAAATGCAAACAAAACATAAGCACTCTATAAACAACATAAAAGATCAATTAATAAAGTGAAATGCAGTCATCAGAAATTATTTGTGAAATCTGTTAGATTAGCAAATCTAATGAAACTCTTCTGTGTTTTATGAAGATCTCTTACACACTGTACAAGTACACTTTGATGGCTAAAAAAAGCATATATGAAGTAATCAGTTATTAACATGTTTAAATATATAAAAAAAATATCTCAGAACTTCTGGACCTATGACATCCACCACATTACATCTGGATAGTTTTTCCATTTACTAAGTATTCCTGTAATGTTTTTCCACACGTTAACTGGAGGCAACTGGGAACCCTAGCTCAGTTCTGCCTTGCTGTGGGGATGTCATACCCACTATCTTGTTCTGCAGCAGCTTTTGTCTGTGAAGGGGCAAGACCAAGGTGAAAGATTTAATGTAGAGAATAGTTATATTTTAAAAAACGTGCTTATTATTTTTTTCTTTTTTGTAATTTAATGGTTCTAGGGAAGCCATATTCTTCTTAATTCAGAGTGTAGCACAGAGCTTTGATGCAAAGGTCTTTCTATTCCCAGCTCGTCCTATGAAAGAGTGCTTTAGCCATTTCTCTCTGAGTCCTATTTCTGTCAGACTGCCTCTCTGGTTGTGTGCAAGCCATGTTAGTTTGCTGGGATCTTTCTCTCTCCATCTTGAAAATAGAAATAAATTGAATTACTTCACCGAGGTGTAAGAGTTTAATTCACTAAAATTTACAGTGATGTTGTAATTCAGATGTACAGCATTACAGAAAGACAAAATACAATATATAATATTTGTTTTTATACACTATATATAATTTTATAATAATTATAAAATATTCATATTAATATTTATTTATATTAGTATTTATTTGTTTATATTTATGTATTTTTATATATTTATATAATATATAATATTCATATATTTACACTCACATTTTTATATATATTTTAGACACTACTAAGCCTAAAGTGCATCATTAAGTACTTAAGGAAGTGCAAATACAAGAAAGTACAACAGTGGACACACTGGAGAGAACGCAATGCAGAGTCATGAAAATGAGGAAGAGTCTGGAGCATTTTCTTTCGAGAGAGACTGAGAGAGCTGGGACTACTTGGCTTGGAGAATACTCAGGGGATTCTGATAAGTGTACATAACTATGTGATGTTTGGGGACTAAATAAAATGGGTCCAGGGTTTTTTTCAGTGGAGCCCGGTGACAGGAGAACAGGCAGAGGACAAAAAGACAAAAACTGAAACATAATTTTGAACAGAAGTAAAAAACTGTGGTTCTCAAACATTGGTGGAGGTTACACAGAAAGGTTGTGGAGTCCCCATCCTTGGAGAGCTTCAAAACCCAGTGTGACGTGCTGCTGAGCAACCTGCTGCTTGTGACCCTGATTTCAGTGAGGCAGTTTTACAAGACAATTTTAAGCAGTGACATTGAGCAGAATCTAAGGAAGAAGGCGGTAGAGGCAAGAAAACAGTTTTTTATCTTGTTGCTGAGTATGCCCTCTACCAATAGTTAAAGATTTGCTAATTTACTTTTATACTTTTTTCAGGGAAGTGGTTTTAAAATTGCTGATCCTTAAACTCTTGCTATGAATGAAAATTATTTTGGCATGACTACCCTGTTCCATCAAACAGCACATCTTTTATTTTGGGGATTTTGTTCAAACATATATCTATGCTAAGCAGTTTTTCATATGTTGTAAGGCTCTTGTCTTATTGCACCTATTTGACGCTTTTATAATTCTGGAGTAATTGAATTGCAATTATTTTTCATGATGCATGGTACAGTTTTATATCACGTTGTTGGCAGATATTCTTTATGATGTCGTTTGGTCTAATGGGAAAATTAGAAGTAGCTCTATCATAGAGAAATATGGCTTTTTTTTGTGCCACGTTATAGTTTGTAGATGGCAATCAGGATATTTTCTTTTGACATATAGATTTTTAGGTACAGACTGAAATGAGATTCTAAAGCAGGGTTCACAGTTGAGACAATATTATCTGTACATCCAAGATTATTCCAACTATTCTCCCTCAGTGACAGTTCATTTATATTCAAGTCCATTTAGCAGTTAGTATTCTAAAATACATACGTAAGTATAACATGATGGGAGAGTTTCTGCTCTAAATTCATCCCTGATTGCACCCAGCTAGTTCCAGAGAAGCCATGAAAAGGTGCTAGCATCTTTTTAGAAGCAAATGCTCATCACAACTGGGGGATTGATAGTAGATCTCCCACCTCGTTGAAGAGCTTTCCACTCACCACACTGTTCAGATAGTCTCTTAATCTCTCCTGCTGGAGCTGTAACTCAAGGTGTAAAGCTTTATGAACTGTACGGAAGCTGTCTTTGTAGCTTTGAGATCGTTCTATGGGTGGTTCTGTAATTTAGGGAGAGGCAAATCCAAGGCTCTGTATCAATGAATAATTAATTATGTCCACAAAAATGATAATCCTCAGCAGACAGGAGTTAGTAGACATCATTTGAAAAGAGCATGTTTTGGCACAATGGATGTAGAAGAATAGTAGGAAGTGAGAGCTGAATGCTAAAGCCAGCAGAGCATTGTTTTACAGTGGAAAAATAAAGGAAGTTTTCAGTTTTACTTATGAAACAATATTCAGAATTTCACAGATTTTCATGGGGTGAGTCAATGGGTTGTATGAAATCGATCTCATTTGTTCATATGAAATTCTCATGATCATCACATATAAGTTGATAACAGAAAGTTTCAAATATACAGCCATCTTGAAGTCTTTTTCTGTCATCTATTTATACACGTTTGAGCCTTGTGAACTGGTACAGTGAAGAATGCCACATAACTTACTTATTCAGCTGCAATGTTGGATGTCCAAAAGCTGAAAACTGTATATAATGGCAGTCAATAATACCTTGTGTGGTTTGGGAGAAAATGTCACAGATGAAAATGCATGTTCTAGTAAGGGCCAATAAATACTTACAAAAATTATTATTTTTTAATGGAGAAACAGTTGTCTGTCCTTATGAAAGATGTCAGCTTTGCCAGAAGGTCCAAGGGAGGTGACAATTCCATTCTTCTCTGCATTGGTGAGGATGCACCTGGAGTTTTGGTGACAATATCCATCTTTGATGGAAATTTGTCTAAAAGGAATAATATTGAAGTTATACTGCTAATCTCAGGATACATGCACATTTTCAAAATTCTCTCTTTTTCTTGCTTCTGCATTATTAATAGTTTAAGCAAAGGAAAATTGGAATTCTGTACCAAGCACAATCCAAACACAGATTTCTTTGTTACTAATTTTGATATAAAAGCTGAACTGAAGACTTGAGTTTGAACAGGTCTGGATTTTGTTCCTGATGTGCTCTTCTAAGTGCCGACACTTCTTTAAACTTTCTCTAATGTTTGGCATTTAATGTAGAAGAGTTTTGGGGAATTCCACACACAGCTTCTGAAAGCATAGCATGTGTGCAGCAGCAGGTCAAACTGCCTTATTTAGTTTCCAAGAAAGTCAGAAAGTGCTTGGGATAGCATACAATATTTGTTCAGTGGTATGGAGTCTAAACTCCATTTTTTCTTTTTTTTTCTCCCCCTCTCCCCATTACCTTTGCACCAGAGTTTGAGACAGGGTCTGCACAGAATGATAGATTCATATAATGCCTTGGACTTGAAGAGATCTTAAGATCCATCCAGTTCTAATCCACTGCCATCATTTCAGGTTGCCCAGGACCCCATCCAACCTGGCCTTGAACAGCTCCAGGGATGGAGCTTCTCTGGGCAGCTGTGCCATTGCCTCATCACCTTCTGAATAAATAATTTCCTCCTAACACCTAACCTAAATCTCCTCTCTTTTAGTATAAAACCATTTCTCCTTGTCCTATTACTATCAGACCACATAAAAAGTTTGTCTCCCTCTTCTTTAGAAACCTTATAAGTACTATAAGGCTGCAATGATTTCTCCCTGGAACCTTCTCACTTCTCCAGGCTGAACAGGCCCAGCTCCCACCGCCTTTCTTCATAGGATAGGGCTCGCTGCATGTGGCTTATATGTGGCACGTGACTCATTGCTAGTGTCTCATGGTATGTGGCTATATCTTGCATGCTGCCTGCTCATGGCATGCTGCTGTCACATGGCTGATATTTTTTTACCACAAAAGAAAGGGATGTCATCCAAAGCAACACAGACAGGTTTGATAAGTGGGCCTGCATGAACCAAATGAAGTTCAAGAAGGCCAAGTGCAAGGTGCTGCAACTTGGTCAGAGCAACCCCAGATATGCGTATAGACTGGAAGAAGATCTCACTGAGAGTCTAGATTTCTCTACATTGACCTCTGAATGTTAGTCCAGTGGTGTATAGGAACCTTAGCAAAAGCAAAATCCTTAGTTCAAGTATGAGCCTTGAAGTGAAAATGGCTTGCCTGGTCAGAGATACTTAATCATTTCCAGTTTCACATACCCACAAAAGCTATGGCTTCCAAAGAAAGGCACAGTATGCATTTATGTATTTAGACATCAATCTTTTCACACCTAATCCTCCAAATTTCAACACAACTTACATCATCAGTTGATTATTTATGAGATTCACTTATGCTATATCCCAAAGCATTAGAATCCATCTAATACTTTCTTTCAACGGTCCTCCAAAGAGATGAGATGGAGAGGCTGAGTATGCTGCACCTAGACGAAAGAGGAAAAGCTTGGATTTACTCAATTGCTCTTTGGCATTTGTTAGCTGCAGTAAAACACAGTATTAAACCACTATAAAATTACAATATTTAAACCTTGAATTGCCTTTTAATATAGTCAGGTAGCATGCATGCTACTGATTTAATACTGCAGACAAGACTTATCAGTGTCTGTTACTTGCTACAAATGATTTAAAAAAAGATTGGTTGTTTTAAAACCACCAGTACATAGGAAAAAGGAGAGAATCGCCAGATACCAAGCTAATAGAGTGAAAATATTGCATTGCTTGGGAAAAAAAAAAAAAAAAAAAGGAAGAATTTTTAAGTGCATGTCTAAGGAGTCATTATTGCAGATTTCAAAGGCTCCCTAGTGCTCTCAGTAGATGGTGCTCAACTCCAACAAGAAGGTGCTCTTGAAAATCAATGGGCATTATGACACTCATAGTATGTTCAATGGCTTGCACTGGTGATGTGCAGGACCAAGAAAATATATTTTGTTAACTTGTAAGTATGGGCAGTATCTATATTTAATTCCTCGGGATGTCTTGCCATTGAACATGGCAGGTGAAAAAAACCCTGACAGTTAATTTCAACCTAAACATAGTGGATTAACTTTTCCAACTTCAGTTACTGCTTAACCTGACTGATTTTGACTGAGGCAGATTAAAGAAGGCTCACATAATCCTTCCCACTGATGAAATTGGTGGGTGCTGGGATGTCTGTCCCAGGGTAGCGATTTCTTCAGCTGTAAAGGTTTATGAAGAGAACATCTGTCCATGCCTAAAATGCCGAAATCAATACATCGTGTAACTTCATAGCAGGCTGTACTTCTGGCCTCTGCTGTTTGATGACTTAAATGCACATTTTCCTGACTACTGATGGCAGTTCAAAGACATCACTGAATTTCTAGAAGTATAATTAATTAAACTTCAATTGCACACTCTGAGGTCTGAATTTGTATTTGGATTTTTCTTTAAATAATTACTTAAAAAATAATCCACAACCATCAATAGCTGTTATATCTGCTACTCAGTGCTCTTGCGGAATGTCTGTCATGTTTGATACAAGAATCATCTGCAACATTTGTCTGTGTAGCCTTCAGAACACTAAAGAAAACTGGTAAATTAAACCTAGAAATAATTATTAACCTTCTTTATGTTTGATACAGTCTTCAGATTTGGCATTGCTGCTTCTGTGTGAATTTTAGGGTAGAAATACAATTACTTACCTGGATTGCACAGTATTTAAATACCCCCCCCCCGCCAGCTCCCCAAGTTCTGAGCCATGCAATATAGTCCACTTTGATTATTTTTTTTTTCGGAGAGGTGAGATTGAATATAAGATTCCAAAACAGTATAATCAGACTAAATTGCTTTATCAAAGATAGCAATTCAAAGCTTTTAGTGCAAATGCTTACACTTAGAAATTCTCTTTGTAAGACTGTGTTTACTGACTCTGCCACAATAGGTAAAAGAACAAAAATGTCTTTGATGATTTAGCAGTGAAAAGGGTAGTACTGAAAAAGAGATGAGAAAGAGTAGGATGCAAAACAATACAGAAAAATAATTGATACTATTAAAGGAAAAAAGACTAAACTGAAAAAGAAGGACAAAGAGAGAATATTGAAATAATTTTTGTATTGGGTGCTCACATTTTACAATTAGATATGCAAGGGTTTGTGCATCAGTAAAATTTTGTCACATTCATACTACAGACTGACCTAAAATCACATACACGTTTCTCAGATTTCCTCCCTACTGCTTTCTCCTTGACAGACTTTTTGAAGATCTTAGAGATGAAATCTCTGACTGAGACATAGATCAAGTAATTATATTTGTGGTTGAACAGATGAATGAGGAGGAATGCAAGCCATGTTTAGGTTACCACATCAGGATGTGACAAGAAAAGAACAGCAAAGGGACACCCCAATTTCCTCATCCAGTTTTTCTGGAAAGGTCAAAGAGAAACTAGGTGTGATGTGATGCACAAAGGAACCACAAAGGCTACAGAGTTTAATAATGATACAGCCATATCATCACAATGATTGGCGTTCTCTATGTATAACAGTGAGCATGTATGCTGGACTTCAGGTTTATAAGAGAAAAATGTCAAGAAGTGGCCTAAGAAATCAGTCTGCAACTGAGTTTTAGTGGAGATTATATTTAGTTTTTACTGCTACAGAGTCTCTCTGTCTGCTATATGCAATTCCCTTTGGTCCCCTTAATCCAAACAAAATACCACAAACACATTTGAGAGAGCAGTAGGACTTTAAGGCAACTACTTTAAAAATAGTAAGTGCTAAACTTTGGGTGACCTGCGTGGAATCTATTCAGTCTTCTCTTCTCTTCTCTTCTCTTCTCTTCTCTTCTCTTCTCTTCTCCTCTCTTTTCTTTCTTTTCTTCTCTTTCTCTTTTCTGAGTGGATGAAGTAAAGTAATACAGATGATTTCTAACCCCAAGTGCTAAACTAAGGAGAACATGTTGGTTTCCACTTCTACCATCCAGCCTCCGTCCTTTTTTTTTTGTTTTAATTTCTGTCCCATCCTCTTTATTCTTCTGTCCTGTTTCTATTTTTATGTATTCCATATATATATGGAATACATATTATTATACATATATATATTATATATTAAATATATATATTTTATATTATTATACCCATATATTATTATACATATATATATTCCAATTTAACCTGGCCTTTATTTGCTTTTCTCTATCCCTGCACATTCTTATTATTCACCTATAGAGAGAAGCAGGACCTGAGATTTCTGTATGGCTACTCCTCTCCAATCTGTTCTTATCTTCCTTCTTGGTTCCACCAGGTTTCTCTTCATTTTCCCATTCTACATTCAGAACTGCTGATGATGGGAGTGGAGAGGTAAAGGAAGATATGAAAACCAGAAGCTGATGATTGCCACCATGGCTAGGATCCTCAGGCCAATAGCTGGAATTTGGAACAGCTGGAACACAACAGGATGGGAACACTGCTTCCATCCGTGACAACTTAAAAACTCTGGGGCCTTCTTCCAAAGTCACCATGAGCACAATTTCAACATATTGACTAAATCTGTCAAGTTGAACTTTTTTTTTTTTTTTTTTTTTTTTTAACCCTTTCCACTCTGCAGGCTACATGGGTGGGACAACTGGGAAATAGAGTTTTACTCCTCCATGTTCCCATGCCCACAGCCCTACAGTCAGAAGTAGTGAAACAGCAAAACCGCATGTAGGTGCTGCATGGGGTCTGATATGTGCTTAGGAGAAGGCAGGGGATGGAATATATTCAATTCAAATGAAACCTTCTGAAGGTGCAGGTGCTAGCATTCCAGCAATCCTTTCTGGACATCTAAAACTGATTTCAGAGGAAAATACAGTTACTAAATACAGCCACTTTTTTAGCATACTTGGCAACTGTTTCAAAGGATGAGGATCATTGGTTCCAATGACTTTCCATAATTCAAACTTCATGTTCCATGGAAGACATGAATTTATGTCTCCCAAATTACAATACCTCACTACAGCAAAATAAACAGTGAATTAAGATTGTTTTTTTTCATGTGTTCACTGTTGATAGAGCAGAGAACACGGTCTGGCTCCTTCCAGAGAAAAGAATCATGCCTCTTGCTGAAAAAAATGGCAAGGAGATCATAATGTGACTGTAAGTAACTGATAAAATTCAGGCAGATGATGAAAGAAAGAATAGCAATGTTAGATGCAGAGATGTTACATTTTGTAAGATAATCTCCAACACAGTGCTTGCAGCTAATGTTTGTTCACATACTTCAGAGGAATGTTTTCTAATCATCCAAAGAAGCTTACAGTGTTATGTTGAGTTGACATCAGTTGAAATCAGGTCACCAAACATGAGATCCATAATGAGAAAAGCTGTATAGCATGTTTGTGCTATGCAAGACGCTACTGCTCCCAGTTTGTTTAGTAATGAAATCATTATTTTTTAGTTTTGCAATGAAAGATTTTGGTAGTCACACAAGCATGCTTTATGGAGTTGTGAAGTCCTGAACAGATTTAAGACTGAACTCTATATTTTACAGCTTTTGTCTTCTCATAGTCACAGTGTGTTTTACCTCTGGATTTATTGGTTCCCCTCAGCAGGTATGGCAGAGTTCTCTGTAAAAGATGGAGAAAATGGAATATATCAAAAAAGAGCAGGTAGGTTTTAAGTCCTTAGCACTGGATAAGGGAAAGAGTAAGAGATAGGTTTTGAAATGTGTTTATGAACACAGCTATTAATATATTTGTTGCAGTTTATAATTGTGTTTAAAATGCATCATCTCTGAGCACTGTTTTTCAACAATTAATTTGTGATTTTTTAAGTGTGACTATATATCCAAAGGCTCATGATTGTCTTCAAAAGTCTCATCTTTCACAGGGTATCTCTATCTAGTCACTTTCCAAAACATTGTTGCCAATTAAGTCTGACATATTTCTGTCAGATAGTCAGGGAATGTTATTTCCTACACTACAGATTGGCCAATTGTGTTACAGAGAATTTGTGGCCCACCTTGCAAGTCATCAGTAAGGCTAAATATCTAAATGAAGAATCCTAAATAAGATCTGAGGAGAAACTAAGATCCTACATATTGATTCTCCAGAGTTTTTCCAGTTTTTCAACAAGCTGTGATGCTGAGCTTCTGTATTCCCCAATCCAGGTCTGTGCTGGGCATGTCTAGGAGATGTTACTATGGAAAGATATTCCAAGATATACAGTCCCCAGCTGGTGTGTGTTTTATGTCTCTGTGGGACAGGAAACCTGTCACCTGGCTGCTTCTCCCTGAATATCAGGTAGATCCCATACGTCAGCTTCCCAGAGAGAATAAAAACCTTTTAATGCTTAGGCAGTGCCTACCATTTGGGAATAGCTGAAGTATTAGTAATAACATCAGTTCATGTTCCCTGTTCTCAGAAATTCAAAGAAGATGTTACAGTTTGCAGGAGATCCAGGTTTCCTTTATTTTTTTGTATCTACCGTCACTCCCACCCGCTATGTACTTCAGCAGATTAAGTGGGACCACTGAGGAAGAAGCCATCACAGAATTCTCAAACTCCACGAGACACCACCACATCATTTTCAAGCAGGCAGTGCACCCAGCAGCTAGGACAGAATATGAACTTCCCACTAATACAATGCTTCAAAAAGGCATATACATTCAGAAAGAGAGGCTAATAAAATTACAAAGTTGTAGTGACAGCTTTGCTAAAGTTGTAGCACAGCCTACTTTTCTACTCAACTGATTCTTTCTACTTCAGCTGATAGTAAGGATCTAGTACAACTCTAACCTTGAGACAGAAGGATACTGACCAGACAGCGAAAAGCTATCAGCCTCAGCAAATCTGCAGATAATATGGTTCACTGAATACTTAAATTGCATTCATACAGCTCTTGGCATAATAAATATGCTGGGTAAGTTCAGGGGCTGGTTAGCTTGCCATAGATTTATAAACTTTATATATATGTAAAGATATATATTTGCCCTAAATAATTTCTCTAAAAATCTGCTCTTATGTTCTAAAGCAGTTCTGAAGTAAACTAGATATCAATGAAAGCTGTCAGACAGAATTCTTTCTTTTCCTATTTCTTTTTTTAACAGAATGAGAAGCAATAAATTCCCCCATTTGCTGTTTCTAAACACTGGTGAGGACAAGTTTTCTCCCGGAGTTTAAATTCCATGAGTCCATTCAGTCTCTCGCCTGCTGACTGCAGCTACCAACAAAGATTTCTTTAATGAGTGCCAATAGTGATGGTTCTGCAGTGCTGAAGGACCAAAGGGGGCAAAACTTGCTCTGAGAAAAATGTTCAGTTTTCAATCAGGGAGAGTGTCAAGCAAAAAAAGACAGGAAAAAAGCAGCAACAACCCTCAACAAGTATTCCAGTACTGAGGGACTTTTATGCCTAGTAAATTCTGAAAGTATTTTAAACCTCATTAGAAAAATAAAGTTTGCCTATTTCTCCTGTTTCACATACTGTGCAGGCAAGGAACGTATATGCTGTCACATTCATATATTACGGGCTCTTTTTTTTCCCCAAACCTTCGTACCTCGGACTTGAACTTTAAACTTGTGACAGTGTTATGTTCATTAGAATAAGAATCACTTGCTATTTCCATTGCAAAGCTCCCCCCAAGAGGTTATCTTAGCTGTTTTATAAATCATATCAGGAGGAAAGCTGGCATAAAGGTTGACAGCTCACTCTAGATAATCATTTCTTCTTCTCTTAAGTGACTTTAAGGAGAAAGGAACGTGTAACTTGCCAGCTCAGTTTTAGTGGTCAAGCAGCCACATCTAACCACTACCAACATTCTGACAAAATTAGCTTTTAAGCATTTTACCTCAGTACAGGAAAATCACAGTCCTGCTCATAAGGAGAAAGACTCAAACATTCATCAGCCATCAAGCTGTATTTTCTCTGTCCTCCCAGTGCAGAGCTCATTACACAGAGCTGCATGAACTTCAGAGTCCTTTGACACAGGCAGCACTTGAATGGAGGCTGAGGTTCAGATTACTGTTGATTTATCAGCTTCCTTAAGAGCGAGGCTGATTAGGCTAATGGCTTCTATGGGACATGATTTCAGTATACAAGTCCTGTAATACAAGGGAAGGAAAATGAAGCAAGTTAGTTCTTGTTGGAAAGAGAACCCACAATTCAGGGCAACAGCCTATTAAAAGAAATTAAAGAGAGGAAACAGGCTGCAAAAGAATCCTGGTTTTAGGAGAAAACATCACCTTCTTCTATATACATTAAATAAAAATCAAATCCTGGAAAGGGAGACTAAAAATATATATAAAATCTGTCCCTTTAAAACTGCACTTCACCACCAAGACATGAATCCAGGATTTTTTAGAAATCAAGAGGCATCTTTCCCCATTTCTATTGGACTTTGAAGCCAGCATTGATGGAAGAGAAAGGCTCACTATGCCTCACTATAGTAGAATCACTATAGTATGCAAAGTGGGAGGTCACTGACATGGGGGGGATGTAATGATGTCCTTGGAAGTTGATAGTGAAAGCAGCAAATACCGAGGAAGAAAAAGAATCTGTTAATGCTATTTAAAGTGTAAGCATGACTCATCTCCTAATCACTGCATCTATCCCTGAAACTGTTGTCTCTTATTTGAGTAAGGATAATAAGGCAGTCTTTTATAAAACGGATAATCCTGAAAGTGTGTATCAGTAACTAAGATATAGGGAGCTTATTTTCTCACTGTCTTGTAATACAGAATCAGAAGACAAATTCAATTCAGTGCCACTGGGAAGAATAAAATCCAATTCTGATAAAAACAATACCTTTTTATACAACATATAATTAGACTTTGAAATTAATTTATCTTGGAAGCCAAGAACTCGACAAGAAAAAAAAAAGGAACTAGATATTTGTGCAGACAATGAAAATACGTAGAATTATCACTTATGAGGTAGAATTGTTTGAAAAAAACTATAAAATCTCCTATTTCAGCTATTCAACAACCGTAAAATGGCCAGCCAAAACTGACCAACAACAAGTAGTTGAACTACTGAACTACTACTACTGAACTGAGCTACAACAAATAGTTCAATTTCATAAGCTACCAATAAATAGTTAATTGTACTTGTGTGGAAATAAAGGAAATTCTGAAAGTAGATCAGAATTCGAATCTTACGCAAGAGCTTGAATGGAATACAGCCAGTTAAAGAGATATTGCATAAAGCAATACTGCTTGGAGAGATCACTAATTCTCAGTGTTCTTGTAACTTCATTAAGTTGATCTTACAACACCCGCAAGAAACAGAAGAAATAGTTTAAGAGCTTGGCAGCCTACTTACATCGATAGGGGAGATTATTATTATCACTGAGTTATTTACACATATAGTTCTTGAAAAAACAAAGGACTACACAAGAAACTACTCAGTAAAGTGGGTCATGGTTGAAGGCATGTTTGCACACAGGTGGGAGGACGTTGAACGGCTTCCACTGACAGCTCCCTGCTATATTGCACCAAGGCTTTAGTTTTGAGAGCTGTCAGGCTTCCATCCTTAAGTCCACATGAAGATGTTTCAAAATGAACAAATCTTTGCCTGGTGCAAAACCACTGAATAATGTTTACCTGATTTTGTCATTTTATTATATTTTCCATTATCGATAGCACAAGGAATTTCTATTACTAGCAGTAGAGTTAGAGGTGACTTGCTGTTAAATAGGTTTTATTCCTACCTTTCACCTGCCACTGGCTGAAATACTGCGAAACAAGACTAGGACACAAATACAAAATTGGTATTGTGTTTGTTCTAAAAGAAACAAGGAAGTGAAGAAATTCTGAACCAAAGCTGCTGTATCTTGTCTCCAACTTGTTTTCAGGGTTGTAACATGTATTGCACTAAGTGGTAAATGATATGTAAAGGCCCCTGAAGGCAAATGAAAACTGGTAGCTATTAGAAATGAGCCCATAATTTGAGACAAGAAGGACCATATCTAATTTCTAGGAAAAACATCTTTAAAGATGTAAAGATGTAACATCTGTAAAGACGTGAGATGTTACAGCTGGCTTTGAGTTTCATGGACCTCTCACACAAATAGTCATTGAGTTCTTCTCTGACAATCTGGTGGAGCACACATCCTGAAACTTGGCCCAGTGTTAGTGCAGTTAAGACTGAAGTGTGTGTTTAACACACAGATCTTGAAAATCATTGCATCAATGGGAGTTGCTATCAATACTATCTTAGATTCCTGGAGATGAGTTTCCCTTGTGACTGGTGTATAGTCCCAGAAAACAATGCATTATTGTATATGTAGGCATTATTGTATATATAGGCTGGGTGCTGAGGTCAGTGCTCAGATTATGACGCAAAACAATAGTCATTTGGCCCCTTTGTTCAGGCATACAAGTGACGTACAGCATCTTTCAAGAAGACAGCATCATTCTCCTCATGCTGGAAATCAGCCTTTCTCTGCACTGACGCCTATTTGCAGCTTTGGTCAGAGATGTGAAAAGTCCAAGGTGGTATGCACTTCGCTGGTCATTCCTGATGACATGGCTTCATTGCTGCTTCTATGCTCTCTGAGGGAGAGAAAGAGCGTTCAAGAGCATTAGTAATTGACTGGGACACGAAGTACCTGGGAAACATCTGTACATGTGGAAGTCTGCTTCAGTGAGAATGCAGTATCAGTGCATCTAGAGAGCTATTCCCATTTTGTGTATATTTGGATGCTGGAGACGATCTTACACTTTTAAAGACGTAGTTTATGCAAAATTCATTACAATGTCTGATACTCCAGCTAACCTCAGTTTTCTGAAAGCACTGCAGTGTGGTGTGGGATGAAAATGTTGCCTCCAAACTCACCTTAAGTCCCTAACAAATTTTACAGACTTTCTGCATTTTTCTGTTATAGATGCCAAGCCATTAGTATACCTTCTCGCTTGCACTAACCTAAAATTAATACATGAATTGTTTATTATTATGACTGTATTTCATTGTTTCTTGAATGTGGACAGTTCAAGACAATTTCTAACCTGCACATGCTTGCTGCCTGGGGGCTGTGAGTCATGTTTGTTTTAAAAGAGGCAGCACTCGCAGACTGTCAGTCACTTGGGTTATTAGAAACAGAGCACTTTAAGAATTACTCTGCCACCTCCTCGCCTCTAAATATAGCTAGTGTGTGTGGGTCTAGGTGATTAAGCTACTCAGAGAAAAGGTCTCATTCCAAATAATCAATTAAAAATCCATCGTTTTAAGAACTATGTGGGCCTCAGGCCAAATGCGTCTTGAATGTAATACCTTTGACTGCTTAATGCTGAAATTAATTATTTGTATTACAACTCCAGGTCCTAACTCAGAATGAGATTTCTTTTCACTAGCAAGTAACAAGACCTGTTCCAAAGAGCTAACTGTTTAAGTAGGCATGATGGACAAAGAGCAGCAGAAGAAAATCATCGTTATGCCCTGCTTCACAGATGGGAAATGGACAGACAGATTCAATGACCTGCTGAGGGTCACAGGAAAAAAGTAATTCATAAACCCCAGATTTTAAGCTATAAGATTTCTTCTCATTCTTTAATCAAGAATAAAACATCACAGATGTCTAAGTATCTAATATCTACAAAATTGCTCTAAGGTCTGTAGGCTTGAGACAGTTGATTTCATTAAAAGCAATGGAATGTGAGAGCACTCTGTACTGACCAGAAAAGTAGGCCTTGGAGAATTTGCAGCCTCTTAATACTCTTTTAATAGAGAATGAAAAAAATCAAGGACAGTCTAATTAAAATAAAAAGTAGAGGAAACAATTGCCAAACCTTTGACCCAAGATAAAACCAAAGTAACTGATTCAGGAAGCAAATTGAATTTTAAAATAATAAATAATAATAATTCAGCTCTAGAAAAGGCAGATGCTATTAGTGAAAATATTACTAACTAATTTTTCTTATTTAAAATAGAAAATTGTTGGTCAGTGTTATGTGTTCTGTTGGCTTGATTTTTAGGGCTATACTTGATCATATATTTTAACTCCCTCCTCCTATACTATCACGAAGTTAGTAGCACGAGAAATTCTCATAGAGTCACCTGCTTGAAGAATTTGGATTTCAGGAATAATCTCAGGTGTCAAAGAACTTGCAACATAATCACAACAGTCAACGACACCTAATTGTTTAAGTTTGTACCTTCAGATCGCAAGAAAGAAGTTATGCACTGTGGAAAAAGTTCATCCCTACCACATCCCATGAGCCCAGCGGAGCGAACTTTTATTGACACCTGAGCTCCTTATATCCAAACCTCTCAATAGTCTCTTTCAGATATTCCACAAATGTAACATGAATCGTCACTATGTTGTGCAGTACCTAATGCATTCTCAACATGCATGGGTATAACCTTTGTGTTTTCCAACCCTCCTCTCCTACTGCTCGTTGAACCGAAATTTTGCTGTCACTCCAACTCTAGCCTGAATCTTGCAAAGAGCTATTGTCATACCTAAATTTGTGCACGGCACATGCATTATTGTCATTACTGCAGTTGCAAACGTTACTCATATATCCAATGTGGTTGCTCTGACAGATCTGAATTTTATTTTGGTTTTAAAGCAACTAGCTTAACTGGAATGTGCTCCAGTTAAAATGCTAAATAATAGTACTTATGTTATTTTTAATAAAATATGCTACATTTATAGCACCGATATTGCAGCAAAAATGGATAAATTAAACCAGGTTTCAATACAACGTATCTTAACCCTCCATCCTTGCCCGTAAATAAACCAAACTGATTTAACCACCATTCTATTGTAAGATGCTGTTAGACAGTACAATTTAATACTATTTTCCTTACTTCCTGCATTGTATAATGAACTTTGATTCTGTAAGGAAAATAGACAGGGAGCTGATCAGTGTTCTTTCTTAAAACTATTGCACAAAAATGCAGGAGTGAAAAATTAAATTTTCTGCTTTGTAAGATACATTTAGGTTCATGGTTGGCATGAACTTAATAGTTGAAAACTT